TTTTATTTTTTATTTTTTTAAATTTTTAAATTTTTTGCGGTATGTGGGCCTCTCACTGTTGTGGCCTCTCCCGTTGCGGAGCACAGACTCCGGACGCGCAGGCTCAGCGGCCATGGCTCACGGGCCCAGCCACTCCGCGGCATGTGGGATCTTCCCGGACTGGGGCACGAACCCGCGTCCCCTGCATCGGCAGGCAGACTCTCAACCACTGCGCCACCAGGGAAGCCCCACAAGTGCTTTTAGAGGAAGGGTTTAGAATGTTCGGTTTCTCAGTCACACTGGCACATCTCAAGTGCTTGGCAGCCACATGTGGCTAGTGGGTATCATTTTGGACAGTGCAGGTCAGGGAAGGCTTTCTGGAGGAAGTAGGGGAACAGGGGAAGGATTTGGGAAGGAGAGAGGAGAGGGGAGAGGGGAGGCACTCCGGGCAGGAGAGGAGTATCAGCAAGGTCTGTGGGCAAGATGGGCCTGGGCTGCTCATAAGAGAGGATGGAATGGTTGCCTGCCGGGAAGGGAAGGTCCAGGACTTTAATTTCATTTTATATTCCTGTGTCTTCTAGCATTTCCCCTCCTCTACCCCAGCACACAGGTTTCTTTGGGGTTGTAGCAGACAGAGGCCTGGATTTTAGTCCCTCCTTTGCCTCTAAGCAGCTGAATGCTTTGGGGGAATTCATGTGGCCTTACCTGCCCCATCTCTAAAATTAGGGTGTCATACTAGACCAGTGAGATTCCTCCCAGCTTAAGTTCTGTGATTCATCTTCCTGTGTCCTTGTTTTCCCAAGGACGGGTGGGGTTATTCAGTGCTGTGTGCAGAGCTGTACACAGTTGTTGAGTGCTCAGATTTCGTCCATCATTATCGAAATCATGAAGTGTGGCTTGTCCCGTCTAAGCTTCTGCCTCTAGGGGGCAGGAGCGAGAAAAAACAAATCCTCCCTGGGACCGGGACTCCACTTGCAGTTCTGGGCACTGCCAGCAGAGGGCAGGGCTCTCACTTCCCCCAACCCCATTCCTCTTGTAAAACGTGGGGAATGCTCTTTCTGTCTTTCCTATTTCAGGTGTCTCCCGGAGGACCCAGAAATTTGGGACATTCCCTGGAAATTATGTAGCCCCGGTGTGAGTGGTCTCCATGGCAACTCGGAGCCGAGCCAGGATGGGATGGGGAGCAGAGCGCTTATGGGCGGGAGAGAGGACGCCCCCCCATCCTCCTCCCCCAGGACCTGAGCCCCTGGCATCTGCAGACAACCTCAGCAGCCTTTCCCACGGAACCTCCCTCGAAGCCCCCTGGACTGATTCCCACCCACAATTCACAGGCATTCCTCTAACAGCCCTTTTATTTCCTCCCCTACCCCACTCCCCAAATATAGAGGTCTGCTTTGAAGTGGAGACTATTTCCAGGCCTTATTGAGACCAGACCCCCGCGTCCGCCACCGCACCCTGCTATGGCGTTTCCTCTAACAGGGGCCCGCTCCCAGCTTCACCCCCATGGGGTTCCTCTAACAAGGACCAGCTTCCTAACCTAATAGAGACCAAAGGCCGTCTTCGCCTGGAAGGGATTCCTCCCCTTTCACTCCAGCTTGCCTGCCATCCCCTTTGTCTTCCTGCCTCCAGCTGGGCCTGGGAGTGAGAGGATGGACGCAGCACTTCCTTAGCATTCGAGGCCTGGCAAGAGGTCTTGCCCGAAGGCTCCCTCTTCCCACAGGCTGCCAAGCCCTGGACCTGGGTCCTGCTTATCCTCCTGCTGCTGTAGCGCCCAGGAAGGGCGGGGCCTCCGAGGACTGTCCTGTCCCAGATGCATTCCAGGGGGACTGATGTGTGCTGTCCTCCTGCCTGCCCAGCGGCCCCCAACCCCCAAGTCCCCTGTGGAAGAGAATGTAAAATAAATCTGGCTATCAGGGACCTTGCCTTCCTGTCCTTTTCCTTTGTGGTGGGAGAGGGCTCCACCTGCTTAGGGTTATGGGAATTCTTTATAATGTAGGGAATCAGGTGGGATGTGAATGAGTGAGTGTGTGTGTGTGTGTGTGTGTGTGTGTGTTTAACGGGAGGCTGCAAAAGAACCATCATTATCTCTCAAGATCTCAGGTGTCCGGCACGATTGGGCAGCCCCAAGGGTCGGGCAGCTGTCTGGCAAGCAGTGCTGAGAGAACTAACGTCACAGGGATGAGGGCAAGGTCTGACTGTGGGGAGAAACCAGAGATGGGAGCTGAATGTGGCCTTGTTTGCGGGCTGTTTGGTTCTGGAGCTGCCATGGGGTTGCTGAACTAAATGACATTCCTGTTTGTTCTGCTCCTAATGTTTTCCTTCTGTGTGCTCCATTTCCACACCGAAGTTCTAGTGTGTTTGTTGACTTTCTTTTTCTGGGCTCGGGTTTTTGAGCAATCGATGGCAGGAAGCTGGGAGTGGTGGGGCACAGCTAGCCAAGGCGACTCTTCTGGGGCTTGGTGGTTCCTGTAGGGGCATAGTCTGGGCCTGGCCGCTCTAATCGGGAAGAAAAGCTCCATTTCTTGGCCACTGCTGGGAGATGAGCGGGGCATACGGTGTTACCCACATGTTATCTGATGTAAGCATCCCAACAGGCAGGTTATGAGTCCATTTTACAGGAGGAGAGACTGATGCAGAGAAATTTTCTGGGTCACATCATTATAGACCTGAAGTCAGATCTGATGACTATTGCTGCCTCTCTGCACAGTCTACCAAATGCCTGCGCAGTCCTTGTCCAGAGGCCCTGGAGAAGAAAGGTCATGCGTGAGGTCCCTGGGGCGGCCCCGGGCTGGGCCTTTCTTACATTCTTCCTGGCAATCCTGTCATCTAGGCCTGTCACCTAGGGCACCCGCACCCCAGGTGGGTGGAAAGAGGCGGTGGTGGCTAATTCTATCAGGACAGGTGGGAGAGGCCTGTGAATGACAGGGCTGTGGCCGGTCCCTGGCAGGCTCCTCGTGCCTGGGTGCGGCCCAGGCTCCACTGCTGGTTAAACAGCAGGTTGAAGAACAAGACCTGCTTTCACTTCTCCATCCACCCCAGTCCCCACCATGGTCTGTTGCTAGGTTGGCAGGCCCAGCCCATGCCATGGAAGTGACCATTCCTCACGAACATGCTAGCCTGTCCCTGATCCCCCATCTCAGCTTCTTCAAGTTGCCTGATGCCCTCAAAAAGGACCTCAGGGTTGAGACTTCCTTTCCTTAGGGCAGAAACCAATTCCACACCCTCTCTTTGGCGGGGCCCTGGGGCCTCTGCAGCAAATCAACCCTATGCCCTGCCTGTACATGACCCCTTCTCTGCTTTGACTTGGCATGAGGTGGGAAGGGCGGAGGGGGGGATCAGAGCCAGAAGGGACCTTAGGTCGCCGGGGATGCTCATCCCAGTGAGGTGAGTCACTTGGCCACAGAGTTGCTAAGGGCAGAACCGTATGCCCTTCTGTCCCACAGGGACATGCCCTGGGGTCGGCTGACTTTGTCTTTGCTGTGAGTTTTGTGACTGCACAACCCACAGAGCAGAAATCCTGCCGTTGAGCCTGCAGATCTTTCTAGAGACTCTCCAAGGCGAAGTCTGAGCAGAAAGGGGTGCAAAACTGAGTCCCTGTTACAAACTGGCAGGATGGGGATGGGCGGCGAGGAAAGGGAAATTAATCCATTTGATCATTCAAACAGTATCCCTTCAACAAAATATTATGGAACACTCCAGGAATGGAGCAACACACCAAACAAAACCCACCCTGCCCTCTGAGGAACGGGCAGCTTTAAAAGGAGGGCAGTGTGGACAACGGGAGGGTAAGCTGTGCATCACCCCCAGTTTACACAGGGGAAACTGAGACCCAGAGGGGCTGAGGAAGCTGTCCGAGGTCACACAGCTGGGAAGAGGCAGACCTGGCATTAGAGGCAGCCCCCCCCACCCCCCGCAGTGGTGCCTGCCCTACCTGCAGCTTCCTGTTCCCTCAGGGACTTCCAGTCTAGTTGGGGAGGCAGAACAGGTGCATCAGGCGAAGAGGCCACACCAGGAGGCCTCTGGAACTTCTTAGTGCGAGAGTGGCTTACACACACCGAGGACAGAGGGTGTGGCTTACACACACCGAGGACAGGGGACGTAGCTGCATTGGAGGCAGGCTGGTCCAGGGCATAGGTAGGCGAGAGGGATGGTGAGGGCACACCTTGCAGACAGAACTCAGAGGGAATGACTCACACCTGAGGCAGGCAAGGTACAGCTGTGCCTCCAGGTGGCCTCCCCTGGAAACAGGCCAGCCTGACAGAGAGTGAAGTGGAAACCAGAGGGAGATGGGAGAAGCCGGCTCTGGTGGGCCCTGAGGTCCCCAGGGTGAGGGTTGCCAGGTTTGGCTCTGGGGGAACCATTTGCCAGATGGTTCTGGGTTGACACCTGGGGCCTCTCCTTGGCTGTCCTCTCCTGATCCCTAGAGCCGGGGATCCAGGTGGTTGGCAGAGGGCTGGGGGCAAGGGGGATCAGGGCCATTGGTGGTTGTTGGTAGCGGCCGGCCGCAGGCAGGGCAGCCGAAAGGGTGAGGGGAGGGCAGCCAGGAACGGAACAGGCATCAGCCCGCAAGGGACGTGTGTAGCCCAGGAGGGGGCCCGGTCACTTCCAGCCGGAGTCTCTCTTCATCTCTTCCTGGGCCTGGCATGTCACCCTGAGTGGAGCAGGCTTACGGCGCATCTCAAGCAGGGAAGCTCTGCGCATCCAAAGCGCCGCAGCAGTCCGCGGCCACCGCCCCGCGAGCGCGCTGGCCAGGCAGGAAGGCGGAGGGGCGGCCTCTGGGTTGGGATTTATGGGTGTCGGGGCTGCATCTGCGCCAGCCTCGGAGCCTGGAGTGGGCGGAGGAGCCGGGCGGGCCGACCGCAGACAGCCCCAGCCTGCCCCCTCCCTCCCCCTCCCCGGCCCTGAACTGGGGTTGGGGGAGCTCAGGGCCCCTTTGAAGGAGGGGGGCGCAGGCGGCCTGGGCGAGCTTCGGGGGTCAGCAGGCTCAGCTGTCTGCGAAGTGGGACTCCGGGCCCGTCACCAGGTCACCTCCCCTGACCTCGAGAGGATGGGGACACCCCGGGGAGGACGGCCGCAGCCTCTAGGGGGCTCTCGGGAGAGTAGCCCCGGGCCCCTAGCGGGCGCGGGCCAGGTGGCAGCGCCGGGGCTGAGCTGCGCGGAGGAGGCGGCCTCCCTGGCCAGGGGCGGCGGCAGGGGCGGCCCTGGGATCACATGGGCGGAGGCAGGTCCCGGAGTCCCGGGCGGGCTCTCTCCAGAGTCGGGCAGACGGCTGCGGCGGGAACGGCGGCGTCTCCTCGCCTCCCTCCTTCCTTCCCTTCGTTCCCCGGCCCGGCCGCGCAGCCCGACAGGTGAGCGGGAGCCGGGTGAGCGCGCCCACCTGCGTGCGGTCCGCACGGCCGGCGACCTCCCCGGCCCCGGCGCCCTCGCAGCTCTGCGCGCCCGCGGCCGGCTCGGCGCCCGGACCTCTCCTCCGCGCACGGCCGCTCCCCGCAGCCTCGCCTGTGGTCGGCGCCCCCCCGCTAGCTGGGCTTTCCCGTCCCGGGTGCTCCTCCTCCAGCCCCCGGCGTGCGCGGGTACTTTGGTCTCGGAGCTCAGAAGGAGCCAGAAGTGGGCAAGCCGGGCCGACGGTCTGGGCACCTCCCCGCGGCCCCCGGAGCGGAGTCCACTGGCCGGCTCAAAGGTCTGGGAATCCAAGGCATCTGCTAGCCGCCAGCGCCGACCTGGGGCCTGCGGGAGGGACAGAGGCTGGGCCTGGGCAAAAGGGGAAGCCGGAGGGCCGGGAAGAGGGCAGACAGCCCCGCTCGCTCAGGCGCCCTCTCCCCAGGCTCCTAAACGCGGGAAGTGGCCCCAGTGTGCCTGATAGACTCGGGCAGCGTTTGTAGTCTGTGGGCCTCCCCAGGGGCGGCCTCAGGGTGGGCGCTGGGTAGGGCGGTGGCCCAGCCTGGCACTGCAGCTTCCTGCCTGGGTTGGCTCCTGACTCCAGAGCTAGAGGGTCAGGAAATCCTACATGGGTCTGGTCTACAGGGACACTCCCTTGCCCAGTGGAGGGGCAGTGGGTGGGAGGCCTGGGGCCCCAGCTTGCGGGCAGCATCAGTCAGCTCGCCCTGTTGGCCAGCGCCCGGTGGTGGGTGTGCCCTTCTTGGCAGATAAGCCTGTCCTTCTTGCCGGAGCTGCTCGGAGGGCAGCAGACCGCTGGCGGAGGTGGGAAGCCCAGTCTTGCCTACCTGGACCACACGGCCAGGGGCGCGGCAGGCAGCCAGGAGGCCCCTCTGAAGACCCTGGCCTCACGTGGGCAAGCTGCCCCGTCCCCAGCCAAGTACTTGAGAGTATGTGGTGGTACCACCCCTTTCTGTGCTGTCACCTCTGTTCCCAGAGCGCTGCCCTCCCCCAGAGTGGGGAGGAAGTCCCTTGTGCTGTCGGTTTTGGGGACCGGAAACAAGCACTAGGGGGACTTCACCCTGATGGTGGAGGAGGGGAGAGGGAGGAAATGCTGACATCTACCACCTGCCAGCCCCGCCCGCCCGCCTGCCTGTTCTCAGCAAGCCCCTGTGTAGCACCCCGCCGCTCTGCCGAAGACGGGGCAAAGGGGGAACTCAGGAGTCCTGACTTCCCAGGGTGGGGGGGAAGTGGAACTGGGGCACGCAGGAGAAGTTAGTCACTTCCTCTACCCACCTCCACCCACCGCCAGCCCCTGACTGGCTCCTCCGGGGACCTGTCACCCCCTTCTGCCACCTCACAGAGTCCCTTGTGGGGTGAGGGGCAGGCTCCATCTCTCCAACCTCTCTCCCTCAGGTATGGCGCTGACGGTGGACTTGGTGGGACCCGCACCCTGGGGCTTCCGCATCTCGGGCGGCAGGGATTTCCACACGCCTATCGTGGTGACCAGGGTAAGGGCTAGTTCCAGGAGACGGGGAGGTACCCCCAAAGTCAGAGTCTGCCCCGTCCACTTGGTCCTCACAGACACCTTTCTTTTTCTGTTTTGAAGCCAGAGGCCTGCTTCTGGGATTGTTGGGGTGGGCAGGGCTGGGGCCCCGTTGCCATGCGGATGTGGTGGCCACTTCAGAAACAGGCTTCTAGAGAGTGAAAGGGAGCTGGGCCCAACGCAAGGCCTTCTCTTTTTTCCTTGGCCACTAACCCCATACGTGCTGGCAGCCATTCTGGGTGATTATTAGAACAGGAGCCCCGAGCTCTTGACAGTTTTCCCCTGACCCAGGCCCAGGCCAGGGAGTGTTCACGCAGAGGGCCTGCGTGCAGCCATGATTTGATTTGCACGGGCAGGGCTCTCTATCCAGAAGTATTTCCAAGCACAGTTCCTGAAATTCTGCCATTACACGTTCTTTGGGGAGCCCCGTTAGAAGGCCAGGGCTGAGGTGGGTGGCAGGGGGCTGCCACTCCAGCTTTTGGAGGGGATTGGCTGATGGGCTGGGTGGACACCAGCAGGCAGGGAGAGAGATGTTAAAGGGAGATGCAGGCCAGCCTGGTTGAAACCAGCTTCTGTGTTTCTTGGGCAGGACAAGGAAATCCCTTCTTCTCCATCCCTACCTACCTGAGTGTCACCTCAGACTACCTGCTCCTCACCCCCTACAGGTAATTGAGGAGGGCAAGGCCGAAGCTGCTGACCTCCGGCCCGGTGACATTATTGTGGCCATCAATGGTGAGAGTGCGAAGAGCATGCTGCATGCCGAGGCCCAGAGCAAGATCCGCCACAGCCCCTCGCCGCTGAGGCTGCAGCTGGACCGGTAGGTCCTCCACCTCTGCTGGGCCTGCCAGCACTCTTCTGCCTTCTGCCAGCCCACTGCACAGTGGCCGCCCTCACCCCTTGCTCTCAGCTCCAATCTGGCCTTCCTGGGCCCTCACGGCTCATCCGTGAGAAGGTCCCAAGCTCTGGGGCTGCAGCAGGGTGGTCTGAGGGGTGTCCCTGTGCCCAGCTGGGCGTGCACTCACAGGCAGAGCAGGCTGGCATCAGCCACCTGGACACCTGGGTTTGCCTGGTTCCCAGGTGTGCAGGGTACAGGGCGTGGGCATGAAGTCGGTTGAAGAGGAGAAAGGTGTGCCTTAGGCTGGGTCTGCAGGGCCCCTGCCTCCAAGAGGGGTGGGGGAGAACCTTTGCTCAGATCCTGGGGTGGTGAGGAGTTTGGGGGCTCACTCCCCATAGAACCACTCCGTTGCTCCCCAAGTTGCCTCTCTGGGCCCTGCTGGTGAAGGCAGATTCCCAGGTTCCTAGGACTTCAGCCTGGGGGTGTGGGTGGGAACAGGTGGCTCCCTGGGGGTGGGGCATCCCAGTGAGTCACGGGGCAGGAATGCTGGGCGATTCCCCAGCCAGGAGAGCCCTCTGGGAGGGCCTTGAACCTGAGTCAGGTACCTCTGCTCCGTGCCCTCTCCTCGCCCCTGCCGCCCTACGTCACTGCAGAACCTGGCTCCCGTCTCCTGTGACGCTCTCACGGCCCCGGCCCCTTCAGTGACTATTCTGTACCAGTCTGGCTCATGAGTGTTTACAGGAGTGGGACCCAGAGGAGGAGGGTAGAGAATAGCTCATGGCATCTGGGAAGGGGACCAAAATCTACAAGAAGCTGCAAAGTGGGGCGGGGGAGGGGCAGGGAGCTGCTGACACCATCACTTCCTCTCGGGTCCCTCCAAGAGGGACCCAGCTCCATCAGAGAGGTGGGCCTGGCCGAGGACCCCCAGGCCTCCAGTTCCACGCTGGGCAGGTCAAGGCTCCCTGTCTCTTCTTTCTTTTGCCCAAACCCTTCCTAACCTCCCCCAGTAACCCACCCCCAGGAGACCTCTCCAGCACTCAAAGCCCCAGGCAGGAAGCAGTGCTCTGGGCGGAGCCAGGGCCCAAGCTCCCCTGCTCTGGCCCTAAATTCTCCCCAGGGAGGGAGGCTGAGGCTGTGGCTGGTGTGGCGTGTGGTGACTGAGGTTCCTGCTGACCTCTCCAGAGGCAGTCAGACATCCAGAAACCGTGTAGTGGGACGTGGTGGGCTCATCCCTCACCCTCAGCAGCTCCCAGCCCTCCAATCACCTCCTGTTCTAGACTTCAGCCAGGTTCCACTGGGCAGGGCTTTGGAGGAGGCGGTGGGGTGGGGTGGGGTGGGGGGCGGTCCCTGGGGAGTTGAGGAGGGGGAGCCTTGGTGATTATCAGGGGAGCTGGGCCGCCTTGTTCTCTAGGTCCTTCAGCTGCCTTCATGGCAGGAAGGGGGGCTGGCTCTACCCTCTGGTTTACAGGGGGTGGGGTGAGGCGGGAAGACTTTGGAAATCACAGGGAGGGATCCTCTCAAAGGCGGAGCTGATGGGGGACAGGCCCCTGGGCAGAGGGGGCAGCTGGCCCAGCCATTGTTGGCCTTTAGGAATTTGGGCAACTCACTTTCCCTCTCTGGGCTTCAGTTTCTCCAGGGGTGAAAGATAAAGGATCATTTATGTGCAATCAGCAGTCCAAATCAATTTACAAACTGATGCTGACCAGCGACAAAGTCCGGATGAAATGCTCCCCCCACCAAAAAAAAAAAAGACTAGAAAAGGAGATGTAAAGGCGAGGCAGGGGGAGGGGTGATGATGTGAGGAGCTCTTAAAGAAATTTTGAATTTATTGAACTTTTTGCTGAAATGATGTCCTTTCTACTTTTTGGTGCTAAATTGTCCTTTCTTTTAAGAAATGATGGTGGTCGTTGAGGACAGTTGTTTGTTGTGAATTTGACAAAGTTAAAAGTTGGCTACCCGATGTCCAAATGTTTTGGACATGTTACTAATCTTGAGAACCCGGTGACACTCTGTCTCCCTCTGTCCTCTCTTCAGGCCTCAGGTTGCCTCTCCCGGGCAGACCAACGGGGAAAGCTCCCCCGAAGTGCTGGCCACTCGCTTCCAGGTAGGACGGTGCTTCCTGCTGGGAGCCCCACACCCTGAAGTGATGGGGGGCCCCCTTCCCTGCTCTTCCCGGCCCTGTCCTTCCAGGCCCCTCTCTCCGCAGGGCTCCAGGAGGACACACACCGACAGCCAGTCCTCCCTGCGGTCTTCCTGCTCCAGCCAGGCCTCCCTCAGCCCCCGGCCAGGCAGCCCCTTCTCCACCCTGCCCCCCGCCAGCCCCCAGGCCCCCGCGGGAGAGGTGGTGACCAGCCACAGGTGAGTGCAGCGGGTGGGCCCCCTGGCCACCAGGTCCAAGCCGGCCTCTCAAAGTCTCTGTAGCTGGGTTTAGGGGGCCCTAGGGTCACCTCTGTCTCCCGGGGCAGCCTGGTGGCGGGGCCCCCGGCACACACTGTCCATTTCCCCATTTCAGTTTCCAGAGCCTGGCGTACTCCCCGGAACCCACTACTGCTGACCACTTGTCCTACAGGGGCCGCCCCGGAAGCCGACAGGTGAGGATACCTGAGGGGAGGAGAGAGCCTCCTGTGCTGGCTGGTTGCTAGTGGTGCCCGTGGGGCTGCATGTGGCTGGTCCCACCTAGGCGGCCAGCACCACGGTCTCCTAGTAATAGGCACTCTCCTGTCTGGAGACGGGAGGCCAGAGCTCTGAGGGTCACACTCACTGCACCGGCCCTACCCGTCCAGGCCCAGGTGTCCTTCTACCTCTTACATTCAGACCCGCCGCTGCCTCCCCCTGCCTGCTGGCTTCCTCCCTTCTCAAGTGTTTCTCTTGGGCCGGGACCGAAATAGTTTAGCTGCTGTTGTTGGGATGATTCCCTTTGGCTGTATCTCTTGAACACATTCCTCCCCATTCCAAGCCCCATGCCCGCCCCCAGCTCCCATCACCCATTCCCCCTCTTCTTCCTCTGACTCAGCCCCCGAGAACCACCAGAGAACCACCAGCCGGCCTGTGGTTCCGACTCCAGTTGCACTTGGCTTACTCTCTGTCTGCCCCCCTCCCCTGCCCTTTTCCCCTGGACACCCTGCCGGGTCCCACTGTCCACTAGTGGCAGCCCAACACCGCCTTGGTGGTATGTCTCCTCTCTAAGGGCGGGGGTGGGGAGGTGAGGAGTGAGGCGGCCAAGAGTCCTGGGCCACAGCTGCTGGGGGCAGAGTTAGTGGGGGCATGTCCAGCCTTTGGGGTGAAGAGGATGAGGCCCAGCTGCTGGAATCCTACCTCGGGTAGATTCTGCATTCCAGAAAGCAGAGCCTTTGGAGATGACTGGGGGAGGGTGCTAGAAACTGGGGGCTCTGGAGAAGGAAAGAACAGGGTCCTCTGGGGGCTGCATAGTAGTGGCTCCCTGGTGACCCTCTGTTGGCCTGCCCAGTGACCCTCCAGGAGACGTGGGCATAGAGATGTATGTATTCAATGAGATCCCGTCTTTAAAGAATTAAAAATGCAGTGGCAGAAATAAGATAAACATGCAAAACAATTTTGGGAAAATTAAGCACTGAGCAGTATGATCTTAATTATAAAAGCAGGAGGCATTCTGGGAGGGGATAGCTGAGTGTGGGCTGGGGTGGCCTGAGAAAGCTTTGTCAGGAATTTTGCTGGATGTCAGAGGCAGGATGGGGTAGGTTTCGGATTAGAGAACGATGAGCTGGGGAGATGGGAACTCCACGGTACAAGCAAGACCTGGTGTGTTGGGGCCTGGGGGCCTTCTCCAGAGAGCTCCGGGCTGAGATCAGCTGGGAATGACCTTGGTCCACCCTATCCTCCTTCCTCGAAACCGGGGCAAAGGGGAGAGGCGGGTGGGACAGGGAGTGGCTCTTAAACCAGCAGCAGCACCTTGGAAATTGTTAGAAATGCAAGTTCTCAGGCCCCAGCCTAGACTTACTGGATCGGACGCAGGGGTGAGGGGCGGGGTGAGGGCACCCATCCCTGTTCTAAGGAGCCCTCAGGGATCTGATGCACGCACAGATTTGAGGGCCACCCATGTGGTGTGAAGAGGAGCCCTGAGCTGGGTGGCAGGGAGACCTGGGTTAGTCCCACCTCTACTGTGTCACTTTGGACAAGGCATCCTTCCACTCTCTGGGCCTCAGAGTCAGACCCGATGCCCTGAATTCCCTTCTTTCACCCTGAGGCCCCTGGTCATTCTTTCAGCTACTACTTGTGGGGCAGCTGCTTTGTGTCAGGCACCCTTCTAGGCTTTGGGGATGCACAGGTGGAAAAACAGAGAAATTCCTCACCCCGTGAAGCTTGCATTCTGTTCTACAAATGAGGCTGTGGTCAGACAGGGCGGGAGTCACCGGGTTCCACAGCTCCCTCTTGGGAGTCACGGTGCACTTGAGCACCTTAAAGGCTCTGAAAAGTCCTGCCTGTGAGGAAGAAAGATGTTTAATTTTTTAATTTCCTGAACTTACTTAACTGCAGAATTTCTTCGGGGATCCCCCTGCCAATCGCTTATTAACATCCCCCCAACACATTTTGAGAGGGGTTGGCTGGAGACAGCTCTTGATGGACAGGTGAGCAGCTTTTCTAGATCTAGAGATGAAAGGTCGCTTCTGTGAAGGCAGGTGTCACCTACAGGTGACCGGGAGGGAGGTGGGGAGAGGAAAGGTGAAGCTGCTCCAACTAAGGGCGTTGGGCTCCCCTCCACCGGGGTGAGGTGCTCCGGCAGGAGAAAGGTGGCAGAGGTGACTACAGATGAGGTGCCCCTGCCCCAGGCTCTTGTGGCCATGGCCTTGCTGCTGGCTCCTGAGCGGGCTGAGGCTGCGCTGGGCCCAGGGCGAAGAACATCAACAGACCTTACAGAAACCGGAAGTTGCCCCCTCTGGAGAGGCACACACTTGGGTGAGCAGATGTAAAGTGAAAACAACCCCTGTCCCTCCGGCCGTCATGAGGACCTGGCCTGAGAAGGGAGTCAGGGTGGATTTCAGTCCTCCCTCCCCGCTGGCCGGTGCCCCCGTGCAGGGCACACGCTGGCCTGTCTAGGACAGCGAGATGGGACATCATTCTTGAGTATCTGGTGCCAGTTGTCCTTCCTGAGTTGACTGCATGGAAGCAGCTGGGCACCCAGGAGCCTAGGCGTGGACTCCCAGCCCTGGATCCCACTTCCCAGGTGGCTTGGATTGGCCACTTTGCTTTCTGACCCTTAATCCCCTTACCTGTAGAAGCCCAAGAACAGAAGAAGAATGCAGGCTAGTGCAAGAGGGCCAGTGGGTGAGGGTCTAAGGGCTTTTTGTTTTTAATTAAAAAAAAAATTTTTTTTTAAAAACATTTTTTAGGGCTTCCCTGGTGGCGCAGTGGTTGAGAGTCCGCCTGCCGATGCAGGGGACACGGGTTCGTGCCCCGGTCCGGGAAGATCCCACATGCCGCGGAGTGGCTGCGCCCGTGAGCCATGGCCGCTGAGCCTGCGCGTCCAGAGCCTGTGCTCCGCAACGGGAGAGGCCACAACAGTGAGAGGCCCGTGTACTGCAAAAAAAAAAAACACCCCAAAACCAAAAAAACCCCACATTTTTAATTTATTTATGGCATGTGGGCTCTTACTTCCCCAACCAGGGATCGAACCCTTGCCCTCTGCAGTGGAAGCACGGAGTCCCAACCACTGGACTGCCAGGGAAGTCCCTAGGGCTGTTTTTTTTAGCTCTGTGAAGTTTCTGTTTTCAGGTTAAGAAGTCATGCAGCTTTTCCACTTGGCCCCATAATTCATCCCCAACTTTGAACTTTAAAATCGAGGGCATTTTCCTTTCCAGGAGACCATGCCCTCAGCCGGTGCACCTTGGCCGGCCTGGTCGTCTCTGAGGCTGTCCTTTCCATTGGGGCTGGCCACGGAGAGGGAGCAGAGTAGGGGAGGGTGCAGAGTGCAGGCCGGAAAACAGGGAGACTGAAGGCAAGATTTCCAGGTAGAGAACAGGTGTAGGAGCCCAAGAGGGACAGCATACATCGAGCAGGGGGCTCTGCTGTGGGGACCTGGCTCCCCAAGGCTCTGTGGGGCAGGACCAGACCTTCCAGGGCAGCCGGGAGAGGCTGGTAAGCCCAGACCCTGGCCATTTCAGAGGAAGGACCAGAGGGTGTAGGAGACAGGACTTTTGTGCGGCCTGAGCCCTGACTCCAAGAGGGGTCTTGGCCCTTTATGTTTCCTGTTCCTCATTGCAAAAGGGTCAGCTTACTTTCTCTCTGCTCATTCTGCCTGCCAGGCCCCAGTGTGCAACATCTTTGCAAACACATCGTGTGAGATGGCAGAGGAACAGCCATGGTGGCCCCTCACGCTCATCTTCATCCTGCCCCTTGCCCAGTCCCCTTAGGGCAGCAGGCTCACCCTTCTAGAGCTGGGTGCTGCCCTCCCTCCCCTCGGGGACTCAGCAGGAGCAGTTGCAGGCGGCTGCTGACCCCCGGTTCTGCGAGCTGGTTGGGTGGGGCTACTGGTCAGCGAGGGCCGGGGCCCCCTGGTGGTGGGCCTGGGGAACAGCTGGGTTCGGCTGCCCAGATGGGTGTGCTGGCCCCAGGCCCGGCCGCCGACTCCTCCCCTGGTGCCTCTCCTTCCCGCAGGCCGGCCTGGGCCGTGCTGGCGACTCGGCTGTGCTGGTTCTGCCGCCGCCGCCTTCCCCAGGTCCCCGTTCCTCCAGCCCCAGGCTCAGGTACCAGTGAGTTCTGGAGGGTGGGGTGGGATCTTGGAGGGCCTGGGAGGGGCAGGAGACAGGCTTCCCAGAGAGGGATGGGGGGTCCCCCCCTCCCTAACCCCCGTCCACTTTCCTCTGGCCCCCAGAATCCCTTTTACCCCCGCGGGACACTCTTTCTTTGTCCTCATGCTCATCCCAACCCCTGGGAACGGGGCCCTCACTCCTGGCTGCCTCCTTCCCATCCCTGCAGCGTGGCCTCGGAAGGGGAAAGCCACCTCCTGAGAGAGGACTCAGAAGTCTTCAAAATGCTGCAGGAAAATCGCGAGGCACGGGTGGCCCCCCGGCAGTCCAGCTCTTTTCGGCTCTTGCAGGAAGCCCTGGAGGCTGAGGAGAGAGGTGAGCCCCCGGGGGGCTCGGGTAGGAGAAGGATGTTCCCCCAGGACACGCTGGACCCCCGACTGGACATGTTATTAAATTAGTATTTGTTAAGTGCTCATCATGGGAGTGGGCTCTGACTCGTAGAAGCCACAGCCCCTGCACTACAGGAGCTTACGGTCTGGTAGGAGTTACTGGGGTGCAACCCAGAGGTGCTGGCTGGGATCAGGGGAAGTGCCAAGGGAACGATAAATGTGGGCGGTGTGTACTGGGTCTCCAAGGACGGCTTCATGGAGGAAGAAGAATCTGACTGGGCCCTTGAAGAAAGATCAGGACTTTCACAAATGGCCTTAAGATGGTGGCCGGGAGCAGTGTGGAATGTGGAGGCTGGAGCCGCAGGGCTCTGGGGTGGGACTGACAGGACACTGGGGCCTGGCTGCATGGACTGTGGCCACGAAGGTTAAGTCCTGGCTGTGAGGCCTCGCATGCCAGGCCTGAGGAGCGTCCCAACCCAGGAGGACCTGTTAAATAACGCCAGGCGGTGTGTGAGGTGCCGAAGTGAACAACAGAGATACAGGCTTCTGCCAGCCGTCCAGTTGCTCATTCGAGACGTTTGCCGAGTTGTCTGATGGACCAGTCATGTGCTGTGGAGATCGAAGGCGGTCAGGACCCACGTCTGCCCCGCCAGGAACTCTGTTTATTGGGAAGACTGGCTGCCCAGCTGCCCAGGAAGTGGACCGTGCCTCAGGAGTTCGTGTGGGTGCATGGGGAGTAGGGGGTGAGGGGGGCACTGCCATGGTCCAGGGGAGAGATGAGGAGGGCCTGGCCTGGGCAGTGGTATCAGGGAGAGAAAGGATGGGACAGTCAGAAGTATTTGACTGGCACAATCACTGGTACCTCGGGGCTGGTTCCAACTCTGATGTTTCGGAGACAAGGTGAGAAGGTTTGGAGCAGAGCTTGTCCATCACTACCCTGAGGCCTCGGCAGGCCCTGGGAGGGGGCGCGGGGAGAGGCGGAAGGGTGGGGGGAGGGCAGCGCAGACAGATGGTGACTTCACCCCTGGAGTCACGGGGTCCTCGGCTACAGATGAGGACCACACCTGCTAACATCCGTGCAGTTCCAAGGCTCAGGCACAATAATGCACGTGAAGGCCCCTTGGAAACTGTACAGAGGTGCTGTGGTGCTGTTATTATCTATTATTATCATCTCTTGATATCATCATCACTGGGTCAGGAGAGAGGAAATGCCTGCTTGGCCTGACGTGTCAGACACCAAGCAGACACTGCTCAGGCTGCCTTAGCTTGCTCCCTGCCCTTGACCAACCTCAGCCAAGGATCTGGGGTGATCACTTCCTTCCCCCATGACCCCCTCTCATGCCCAGGCTTACTTTAGAGGTCCGCTTGTAAGTGCACCTTTGACAAGGTTCTCTTTGGAGCTGTGTTGGAGGAGGTGGAGTGGGCATCAAAAATACAGCCTGATGGCACTGCCGTGGGCGAGCTCTGATGTGTTTGTCTGTCCTCCCCACCCTCATCCCCCACCCCCCACAGGTGGCACACCCACCTTCCTGCCCAGCTCGCTGAACCCCCAGTCCTCCCGGCCCACTTCCAGGGCCCTGGCCATCCCACCCAAGCTCCACACGTGTGAGAAGTGCAGCGCCAGCATCGCGTGAGTGCTGGCGGCCTGGGGGGCAGGGCACACCCCGCAGGGCGGGGGCCAGGGGCCAGGACGCTCTCAGGAGGGGCCTGCATGGCTCCACTAGCCAGGGACCCTGCGGGGAGCATTGCTACAGTGGATCTGTGATGGGCTCAGGGGTCACTTCAGCCTTCTTAGGGTGCCTGCACTGGCTTTTTCCCTGCTGTCTCTCCTCTTCCTCGGTTTCTTTCCCCGCCTCCCTGGAGGAGGAAGAAATGCTACTGCTTTCGATTTCTCTCCAACCATCTCAAAGCCTCTGCAGATCTGCCTCTGGATGAGGTGCCTCCTCTTGGAAACTCTTGCTGTTACTTCCTCCTCCCCCTCTTTGGAATGGGATGCGTTTTCCAGAGGTAGGCCCATTTTTCTCATTATAAGGCAGCCACATTCTCTGGAAAATTGAACCCTGCCCCCCCCCCCCAGATAAATTTCTTCCGTGCACGGTGGTGAGGGTCAGATGACTCATTTTAGGCGAATCCCTGGCCTCCGTGGGCCATCTGCAGAACGCGACACTGCCCAGCACTGCTGTGCAGGCCCAAGGAAGGGGTCCTATACGGTGTTTCTCAAAGATCGGCAGCTGGACCTCTGAGGGATTTCGGGCCCACACCCCCAGAGTTTCCTCTTCGGGAGGTCCCTAGCCCCAGAGTTTGCATTTCCAATTCATCCCCAGGTGATGTGATGCTCGTGCTTGGTGTTCTCCCCTCTCTCCTCCCCCCTAGGCTAATGGCTCTCTCCTCCCTGTGCCCCCCCCCCCCCCCCACCCCGCAGGAACCAGGCCGTGCGTATCCAGGAGGGGCGGTACCGCCATCCGGGCTGCTACACCTGCGCTGACTGTGGGCTGAACCTGAAGATGCGAGGGCACTTCTGGGTGGGGGACGAGCTGTACTGCGAGAAGCACGCCCGCCAGCGCTACTCCACACCGCACACCATCAACTCCCAGGCCTGAGCGCCCGGCTGTGCTCTCAGACCGCCCTCCACTCTGCAGGCACCTCCGCACCCGGGCCGCGCCAATATCAAGTTGGCCTGGAAAGGCGATGGGGGCTGGTGAGGCCCCTTCCTCCTCGCTGAGTGAGGCCAGAGGCTAGGACCTGCCTGTGCTGTGGGTGAGGGCAGCCTCACCTTCCCAGGGCTCTGCTGGATACTCTCGCATCCCCCTGCTGGACAGGCTCTGCGTCAAAGTGCGAAGTGGGTGCTGCCTTGGACACCTTTGTGTACCAGGAGTTAAGCAGGCTGGGACATGGAGAGAAGTATCTGGAAGGAGAGGGCTGGGCCAGAGGCTACAGGTATTCACTGTGTAAAGTTTTCAACATACGAGCTCTATAAATATATACTGTACGTGGACAAAATAAAGTAGGTGCCCCTCTTTTCTCTCCTTCCCTGCCCCAGCCCCTGGGGATGAGCTTCTCCCTACCACTGGGTGGAGAGTCTTCCTACGTACAATTTTTCTCCCCTCTTATTTCCGCCTCCCTCAAACCTCCACCCTACCAGGTGCCTCAGCACGTGGCGCTCCTGACTGAAGACACCCACCCCTGTTAGTGGAGGGCCGTGCTCTTCCTGGACCCTCTTTTAAAGATGTGTGTTTTATTGGGATGATCCCTGGTAGAGGAATGAGTTTCTCACTGGGAGCCCGAGAGGGGAAGGGATGCTAGAGGGCCAGCAGCAAACAGGAAGCAGGCCCTGAGACTCCTGCCCAGGCCTGTCTCCGCGAGACAGTATCTGCGCTGGCGCTCTGTGCCCCTTGCTTTACTTGGTATGGAGGCTGCTTGCCCTGCTGACGCACCCAGGGGAGCTCGGTGGGCCAGAGAGGGGGCAACATCTAAAGAACGTCCTGCGCTTGCCTGATTCTGTCTGCACCCGTTTGAGAAAGCTTATCCCAGGAGTAACCTTGGACAGGGCTATGAGTTAGCTTTCCCTGGGAGGGACAACCCTGCAGCGCCCCTACCCTGAGGACCAACACCCTCCAAGCCAGGGTTGGTCTGCCTGCCCCTTCCCTGGGAGCCCCAGCTGGCTTCGCTGGTGGTTGATTTGAAAGCTGCCGCTAGGCAGGGGGACAGTGGTCCTCTGCCAGATTTTTGGCTTGATTCACCCATCACTCCCAGTCCTAATTCCAGAGGACACTTCAGAAAGGTGCATGGGTGCTGCTGTGTGCTCTAGACCTACCTTATCGTCCACTCAGCCTGAGGGAAAAGATCAAAGCTGGGCTTCAGAGGGTGCTTTGTGCTATCTGGCTCTTTTGGGAAGGAATCTTGGCAGAGACTGTGTAGTATTGCCTCCCCAGGCACCTTGATGTAATTTACACCTTGCTATAATTGTCTCACCTTTTGCCTGGATGGCTGTCTTTATTTTCATAGGAAAGATCAAGGCTGTCTGCGGCTCAGGAGTTGTCAGGCCAGAACTGTCTGGTCCCAAGTGGGATGGGCTCCTTGGCGCCACCTAGTGTCAGGTGTAGCCCTTGGCGGGGAGAATGCTCACAAAAGGGGATTCACTCCTCTGTAAATTCTCAGGTCCTGGCACAGTGGGAGTACAGAGATAGAGCACTTTTCTGGCTTTGCTAAAGATAATAGTCAAGTGGCAGCGACTGAGATGGCATGCATGAAATAATGTTACATGGTAGTGAGTGTAAAGAACTCGTGCTGAACAGACAGGAGCGCCCTGAGAGTTCAGAGCAGGGGCCGTGGGTGTGAGAGGAAGAAAGGACACAGACAGATGGAGGAGAGAAATGCAGAGTGAGGGGCTGAGTGCAAGTGGCATGATCAGTTTAGGGCAGCGGCTGAAAGCGACACTGAGATAAGATTGGAAAGGAAGATGGGAGCCTTGAATGTTGTAAGATATGGTTTGAATTTCTCCTTGCAGCTCTGGGGACACTGAAACATTTTCAGCAGGTAAGTGACAGGTTGGAAAAGGGTGTGTTAGAATCTTAATATGGTCATATCTTCGCCTGTAACAAACCATGCTGGGCTAGCAGTGCTCTAAGGAATGGAGAACCAAGGGGGAGTGGAGGCCCATGGGAAATGGGTAGGCCAGTGAGTTGTTGAATGCCTTTCGACACCTCTCTGCGTCAGCCAGCTCTCCTCCCCGGGGCCAGAGGGTTTCAGCATCAGAGCTCTCTGCAGCCACACAACTAGTCCGAGCTTGGGGGTGAACTTCTTCGGAAGACGGAGTTATTAGTCCATCTCATTTGTCAGCAGAGAAGGTTGGGGGAGGCCTTTGGTCTCTGCCCAGCTGTGTACACCCACCCCCTTTGACCCAGACGTGCTGGGGTGGGGAGGGGGCACCGCCCAAACATGCGGCTGTTATTTGTCCAGTGCTGTGCCCTTTTTACTTTTTCTTCATTTTGGGGAATAACTTCAGAAATGATGACAGATTCGAGTTAGAAGTGACCTGAGAGAGCGTCTGATACAGGCTTCTATTAGAGATGAGAAAACCACTTTCCCAAAGTGACACCAATAGATAATTCTAAAGTGCTTTAAACTCCGGTCCTCACCATTCTGAAGTAGGTACTGTTGTCATGCTTGTTGTGTAGATGAAGAAAGCAACGACAGGGAGGCTAAGTCGCTGGTCTAAGAGCTCCTAGCAGTAAGGGGAGGGTGCAAAGGATGAGCCAGGAGCCTGACTCCTGGGTTTCTGGTTTGCCCTGGGGTGTGCTTGCCCTTCCCTTCCAGGCCATAAGGGAGGTCACCACAGCTTCCAGCCATCTCTAATCTGGCAGGAGCTGCCCTAGGCTCTTGGCTTTGCCCTTCCTCGCACAGGGCCTAGCTCAGCGCTGAGCTGGCAGGAAACATGCTTCCTGAAGCTGGGATTTCCCCATGGAGGCTGGGAGGCATCGAGCATCCCTGGCCTCAGCCTGAAGGATGACTCTGCTGGGCTACCATGTGTCTCAGGAACTCACGGTGGGTGCTCACCCCTCAGCTGGGCAGCGAGGGGGTGGCTGTGCTGCCCCTCCCATTCCTTGAAGCATCACTCAAAGGGAGATGATTCTCCTCTGGTAGGAGGTGGGGTGAAGGAGAAACAGCCCTCCGGGCGGTGAAGGCCTGGCCCAGCTCCGGGCCTGGGGCTGCCACAGTCAGGGCAGCAGAAGGCAGATGGGAAGGCAACATGTTGGCCCTCAACTGCGAGGGATCCCAGCTGCCCTGAAGATTCTGGCATAACTGCATGGAGAGGGGAGAATGGCCTGGAGGGGAGTGTGCCGTGTGTGTGTGTGTGTGTGTGTGTGTGTGTGTGTGTGTGTGTGTGTGTGTGTGTGTGTGTTCTGTGTGTGGTTTGAGCCCACACAGAGCCTTGTGCTGAGACACTGCATTCCTGCTGGCTGGGCTTCCTGCTCCAGATGCATTCCTGCCCCAGAGTCACCACAGAGACTGCTTGGAATCTGGCCCTACATTCTCCAAATTCAGGACAAGATCTGGCAAAGGGTCCCTCACTTTACCTCCCCATCCTCTGACTTTGGAGGGAGGAAGCCACCTGATGGCCAGCCCTCCTCCTCTCCTCCCCAGGGAGGCCTGGCGTGGGATCTTCACGGGCTGTTGGAGTTGGGTAAAGCAGTTCCCCCAGGCCCAGGTTTCCCTCTCTGTACCTGGGAAAGAGGAAGGTGGGGGGGGGGGCAGTGCTTTCCAGGAGGATAGGGTTGGGAGGCAGCAACCCAGAGAACCCGCAGCTAGCAGGGAAGAGGTTGGCCTGAAAAATCAAGGTGTTAAGAGAGGCTCTCATTCTTCCCCGGGCTTAGCTGTAGGCCTGTTTCCCAGAAGTTAGAATGTTGTAGTTCGTGACTCTGATTGCTGACGGCTCCTGCGTAGGGTGCTGGCAGAAGGGAAGGAGGGAGCTGGAGGTGGGCAGACTGTCTTCTCCCTCCCAGTTAATAACCACTTGCTCCCAACGCCTCCAGCTCCAGCTCCAGCCCCCTCCCCCAGAGGCTCAGGTGCAAGTTTGCACGTCCGCCAGCTCCCTTATCTCCCTCCAGGGAATTTAGGTCCTGCTGGGAGTTTTCCAGCCTGGTGGTCGCCTTCCTCAGGAGGCTGAGGTTTCCTTAGAGGCCACCATCCCATCTGGTCACCAGGCTGTCTCACCGTCAGTGTCTGCCTGGGCTGCCGGCCCCCTGTCAGGGTGGTTGGGGGGTGGAATCCCACGGACCCAAAGAGTTCGGGGGCGGGGACCGGAGAGCATTTACACTTCCAGCACCTCAGGCTTGCCCTCCTGTCCCCCCTGTTTCGCTTCCCCGGATCCTGAAGCCCCCTCCCCCCGCGCCAGCCCCCAGCTTTAGGGTACCCGGGTGAGGAAGAGATGTGGGACGAGGAGGGGGTTCAGATCTAGCCCAGAACCCAAGGCGCTCTGCAGTTGTTGGAAAGGATCTTCCTGTGTCGGGGGTCACTTCCCCCTTTGATCGCGCCAGGTTTCTGAGTGGCTGAGTGACTTGCCCCAAGGCACACAGCTGGGAGCGCGGGTACGCCGGTGTCCAGGTCCGCTCTCTTCCCTCCGCCTGCACGTGCGGCTCCATTTCCTTCCGCGCTCGCGTCCGGTCGCCGCCGCCCCTCATCCCCGCCCGGGTTCATTTCGGCGGCAGGAAGACAGACCCCGCTTGGAAACCGAGGGCGGGGTGACCCCGCGCCACGAACCAGACGGCGTCTCCGGGCAGGGCTCCCCGCTCCACGTCCGGGGTCGGCAGTGCGGGGCCGCCCGGGGCCCGAAGGACGGCAGATCGGGGCCCGCGCCCCGCCGGCACTGGGCGCGGGGGGGTGGGACCAGGCCCCGCCCCCGCGGCCCCTCTCCGAGCGCCCGCACACCTGCGCACCCCTCCCGCCGTCCCTCCCCCATCCCCGCTGGGAGTGTCCGGGGGCCTCGCCCAGCCAGGTCCGGACGCGCACCCGACAGCGGCGCGGGGACGCCGGCCGGGATCGCTCCGTCCGGCTGCAGCGGCCACGGCCGGGGCGCCGTGTCGGGGCCGGGATTGGGGCCATGCTGGGCCGGCGGCGCGTCTTCGCCGTGGAGCCGCTGGGCGGCCGGGGTGAGTCGCCCACCCCGGGGCCGGCCGGGACCTTTGGCCTGGAGCCGACTCCCGTGCCCGGGCCCCTGTCTGCGCTCCCCGCCCCACCCGGCACAGCCCGCCCGACCTCGCTGCGCCCTCCTCGCCGCTTCCCTTAGGAAGGGCCGGGGGATCGCGCCTTGCCCGTTGGAGACCCTCTGGCTTCTGGCGTTAAACCGACCGCCACCTCCATCCCATTTCCTCCGAGTCCACTTCCCTCTAATTCCCGGTATGGATCCTCCTCTGACCGGCCCCTGCCCCAGCCCGCAGTTGCGAAAAGCTCTCTCCGCGGCGGCCGACCCCTTTCCAAAGGAGCCGCGCAGGGGTGGACTTCCTGGTCGACTTCCTTGCCCAGAGGGGCCTGGTTTGGCATCCCGTTCCAGCTCTCCCGCGTGGCGGGCAGGGAGACGAAGGCGGCCCTCCATCGTCTCCAGCCTCTGTTTCTGCATCCTTACAGTCGGGGCACCCAGATCGCAGGAGAGCCTGGCACAGGCCAGGAGAGCTGTAGGAGAGGACAGTGAATGGGCGATCACGCTGTTTCTCCTCCTGCCCGCCTGGTTCCCTTTCTTCCGTTTAAGTTTTTCCTTTTCAACTCTCCAAAACCTTCTGTTTCTCACTTAAAAGAACAAAAGTCCAAAATGGTTATAGCGATTGTTATTTTTACTACCCATCTCCCCCCAGGAATTCCAGGATGGACTTCCTTTTGCATCCTGATGCCAGTTTGGGCCCAGGCTTCCCTCTTTGCGCCCTTTCCCCTCTCCCTGAGGCTAGGGCACAGTCATACTTCCCCATGGGGAGCACTTGAAGAGGCTACCACTCCCCAGTTATGGCTCAGAGGTCTTAGGCCAAGCTCAGGGGCTGGAGCATGAGGGCTCCCTGGAAGAAAAAGTGCTCCCCCCTCCAAGGCAGATATCACTAACAATTACTTTTGTAAAGGGAACCCCATTCTAACATCTCCCAGCCAGGGTTGGAGAGAGATCTGGGCGGGGCTGTGGCCAACCAGTCTCCTCCTGTCCCCTCTGGCCCAGGACACTCCTCAGGGAATGTTGCCAGCTGCCAGGAATACCAGGGGTGTTGGGGCAGCCTGTCCAGCCTGATGACTGATTCTCCTTGCAGATGGGGCTGGCGAGGACCTGGCACGTGGCTGTGTAGTGCCTGGAGTCACCAGCACCTACAGACGGATCCCGGATGCCGCTCCAGGGTGGTCGGCAGACTCCTGCAAGGGGCATGGCCGGCTGAGAGCACCTGGGAGGCAGGTGCCGCTTCTCAAACTGGCCTCCCAGGACTCAGGAGTGGAGATGGTGGTTGGGGACAGGTCCCTAGCCACCTCACCGGGCCTTTCTCAAGACTCTCTGAACTCTGAGCCCATGCAGAACGCTGAGCCCCTGGCCCTGGGTGCCATGGAGCCTCCTGCCCGCCTAAGCCGGCTTCTAGCCAGCCGTAAGCTGGAGCAGGTGCTGGAGCGGTCCCGCCAGCTCCCGACTTCCTCTGCCAGCTTGTCACATTACCGCTCCCCAAAGCCGCCAAGCAACTCTGAGTATGAAATGCCCCTTTTTGGAGCAGGAGGACAGGAGGCCACCAAGGCAGAGAGTGTCCTAGAGGCAGGCCTGGAAGAAGCAGAGGTGGTGAGATGCCTCCGCCCCCCAACTTCTTCTCCCTTACGCCTCATTGATGTGTTGTGTGAGAATGTCTTGCCTCACCCCACCCCCAGCTGTGTGGAGGTGGGCAGGTCCGGGGCCTGCCCGGCACTTTGCCTGGCTGGGCACTGGGAGGCCAGCTGGGTGTGCGTCCCTCCTCTCACTCATCCTGCCCCCATCTGCTGGCCCCTTAGGGTGCGAGTCTGGTTGAGTTCAGAATTCTCCCCTACCTCACTACGTCCCACAGGTGGGGGGCTTGGGGCCTGAAGCCTGGGCCTGCCTCCCAGGGCAGGGTCTTCGCTACCTGGAACACCTGTGCCTGGTGCTGGAGCAGATGGCGAGGCTGCAGCAGCTCTGCCTGCAGCTGCAGACTCAGAGGGCCCCTGGGGTGAGTGAACTGTGGGCAGTCGGGCCAGCGGGCAGGCAGGTGAGTGGGGGATGCAGAGGATGGGGGGGGGACCCCTGGAACCAGGACTCCCTTCAGAACAGCCTCAGCCCTCTAGCCAGGCCCTGAAAGCCCATCTCTCCTGTGCACAGGATCGTAAAGAGGAGGAGCCGGCCCTGGCGCCTTCACCTCCACCCTCTCACGCCCCGGGCAGTGAGGTACACGGGCGGTGGGAGCGGCTCAGCCAGACAGAGGAGACAGGTGAGGCGCAGTTGTGTCTCTGTCTGTATCTTGCCTGCCCAGGTCCCCATAGGCAGACCCCCTGAGCTCTGGGCTTGATGAGTGCCTTCCTGTTCCTGGCCTTGGGTAACTGGATTCTCTTTCCGAAGGAGCAAGCACAGCTTCACCCCCAAAGGTAGGGGTGCCCAGCGCCAGCCCTTCCAGGCTGTCAGAGGCCCTGGCAGAGCCAGCTCACACCTTTCCATCCTCCCAGGGGCACAGGGTAGGTGAGGGATGTACGTGGGGGCAGGTGACAGGATGCGGTGGAGGTCGGGGGTGGTTGGGATGTGTGCTAGAAAACGAGAGGATTCCTGTTTGGAACAGGTGATCTGTCCTGGCTGTGCTGACAGCTATCTCTGGGAGCTTGGTCAGGGGTACGTTTTGGGGAGGGGCCCTGGGTGACCCTCTCACCCTCTGCTCAGCGGGATCTCTCCCACTGGAACAAGGTCAAGGTCCTGCTCAACCGGATCCGGTGGAGGAGCCCTCGACCTGCTGAAGCCGCTGCCCCTCCTGATGGCTCTGCCCCCAGGTGAGTCCTGTGGCCCAGCCCAGGGCAGAGGGAGGAGGCTGATGAGCTAGGATGCCAAGATTGCGCTGCCAGTTGTTATCTTCGTCCCTGCAAAATTTGAGACACGTAGTCTTGGAGAGGGTGCTGGAAGAAACAGAAAGTGGTTAAAGCACCCCGTTTATGGATGAGGAGGCTGAGGACTGGGCTGGGGACGGAAGTCATTTTCCCGAGGCCACACGGTGGCAGAGCCAGGACCAAAAGATGGGAAATCCTCATATAAGCCCAGCAAGCCCTCGCCCCTCAAAGCTGACACTTAGGTCACCTCCGTGGGTTTCCCCAGGAAAGCAAGGTAGGGCACAAAGCATGCCACAGTGGATGCCGGGGGTTGGGGGGTAGGGGTCTATACTGAATAATTCTGGCGCCTTCAGGGTGGTCACGGGGGGATTATCCCTGTCAGTATCCCCAGGCCTCCCACAATGCTTGGTCAACTCTGGGACCATCGTTACCTTTGTTTCTTCCTCCTAGCCTAGTGCCTCCTTTCTTTCTCCACAGGATTGCATCAAGGGACCTCCCTGAAAGGCCTCCAGGCCAAACCCTCCAGAAGACCTTTATGCCATCATTAGTGGTTAAGAAGCAACGAGCAAAAAACCTTACTGTATGCTGAGACTTCCTGGTGCAGGGATGTAACCCCAGCTGGGGGGAGTGCAGTGAAGTCTTCTTCCTCGCCCTCTGCCCTGTTGCTGCTTCTGGGCACTGCCAGGAAAAGCTGTTGACCCTCAGTTTTCTCTCTGAGGCAAGGGCTGAGTCTTTCTCCTCTGAGCAGCCAAGGAACCCTGGGTCCCTGAGAGGCCCCAAGGTGCAGCAGCTCTCGGGCTCCTCCCTGGTTGCCAGAAATCCCTGGGCTTAGGCAATGTGAACTTACTGATTCATCTGGCGTCCGTGGAGTGTGTTTGGCGTGGTGATCTGTTGGGGCCCAGCGTGTCGCTGGGGACTGTGGGACTGTCAGTGTTGTGAACTGGCTGGATCCAACCATCTCTCTGGAATCATGCACTCAAAGAGTCAGTCTTCAGGGTGAGGTAACTGCAGACGATGGACTTGACCTTCACTCCTGAATGGACAGTTACTGATCTGGCGTCCTCCCTTCCTCCTCATACTTGCACGGGCAGCCCCAGGACAGAGAAGGGTGCTCTCTTGGCTGCCTCTGCATTGAATCTTGCCTGAAGACTGCACCAGGGATGGGAGTCAAGGACAACATGGGGAACAGCAGAGTAATCTTCAAGGTCTATGCTCAGCTGCTTTACTCCTTACTAGCCTTTCCACGTCACAGCTGAAACCAGAGGCCCATACTAGCTTTTAGACCTTGACAAAAATCCCTTAACTTTTCTGAGCCATAGCTTCCCACTTAATCTCCCAAATGGTATAATGATGCCTGTCCTACCTACCTCACAAGCTTGTTTTGAGGGTAAAGTGAGATTAAACTGTCTCAAAGTGCTTGGTGAATGTTAAATGAATAGGAAAGGGTGTTGGAGGGAGGCTAGACTGGAGGGTGATGGGAAGGTCAGAGGGTAAGGGGGAACTGGGATTGCTAATGGGGACTAAAATGGCCAGTGCTTAGCGGCAAGACTTTGAGCAAAAGTCATTTCATTGAAGCCTCTCAGGTTTCATAGCTGAGAATAAGGACACTAATTCCTGACCTCCTTATCCCCCAAGGGTTGATGTGAGGACCAAAGGAAATGATTGTGAGAACTCTTTGTAAATGTATACCTAAATATCGTGGAGGTTTATCTTACTATATAGCCTATTAGGTTCCTAGCTCTTTGTTAATTGAGAAAGGGGGAAAGTTTAGTCTCCTGCAGGTACGCAGGAGGTGTGTGGGGAGGGGTGTGCCGCCAACAGAAGGGTAGGGCTAGGGATGGTTGAATCAGACACCGGGATGTCTTCTGGAAATGGCCACTGATCATGCATCCTCCTCCTCCAGTCAGGAGGAGGTCAGATGGTTCTCCTCCTCCTCCTCCAGTCAGCTGGTTCTCTTGCTGCTGCGGTCTTGGGATCTGCCAGAATGAGGCATAGGTGCTCCCTTATGTTTGGGGCTCCAGTTCCAGCAGTCTTGGGGCCAGGAACCAATTCTCCGAAGCCTGCTTTTCTAATGGGACACGTAAGAGAGGACACCACTGAGGCGCGGCTTCCTAACGCGCATCCGATCGGGGAAAGCGCACTTCCGCTCCACAGTTGGAGCGGGATGGCAGGCCGGGGTGGGGGAAGGGACAGGTCAGTGGAGAGGAGGGAGGGACCATATCCGGGAGAGAGGCAGCTTCCGACCAGTGGTCGCGCTTCCGGAGAGGCGTTTCCGGTGGCGGCAGCAGCAGCGGCTGTGGTGGTTCCGGGTGTCTTTGTCCCCCCGGTGTCGCGGCCCTGGCCCGCAGGTGGGTTGCGGGGCCTTCCGCCGCCCCTCTGCCTCTTCGCCCCTCCCCTGGCCGAGGGGCTGCGAGGGCCGGGCCTCGAAGATGAACCGGGCGCGGAACGGGCCGAGGCCCCCTTCGGCCTGCAAGCTCCGTCTCCCTGGCAACGGTCTCGGCCCTGGGGGCGGGCGGGAGGAGGAGAAGCCGCGCGCCTTCGTCTTCCCACGGTGGCCTGGCCGCGGCCCGCCCCGGGAGACTCGGCGCCGGCGGCTGATGAGGCGGGAGCCGAGGGCCGGGGAGCGCGGGAGCAAGAGGGCGGGCGCGCAGCCGGATTCGCGTTCGGCCGGGCCACGGAGCTGTCTTCCCACCCGCCCGTCCGGGGAACAACGGGCCGGGCTTCCGGGGAGAGGGCCCACACCATCTCCTCTCCGGCAGCAGCCTCCTCCATTTTTCCGGGCCTTGCGTGGAACTCTTTGGCGGATGCATTGAATGAATGAATGTCATCGGGGCTCTTTCCAACCCTCCACTCTCCCCAACTATCTGAGGGTGGCGTGGCATAGTGAGAGGAGCTCTAAGTTGTCGGGAGATCTGGGTGTGAGTCCTAGTTTTGTACCTACCTGGTTATGTGGCCTCGGGCAAGTCTCAGTCCCTCCGAGCTTCAGTTTCCTTTTCGTTGAAAGAGCATAACAGTATCACCCACCACTAGATTATTGTGAGGGCTGACTGGAACATTGTAATTTCTCCATTTCCTGCTCCTTTTCATATTCTCACCATCCGTCTCCTCCTTTCCTTCTCAGTATCCATCTCTCCATTTTCCTTAAGATCCTTAGTTCCTTTTTTGGGGTAGATGGAAAATTTCCCTATGGGCCGTTAATTTATTTCTTTTCTGATTGAAGGTTTTTCCCCAAGACTCTGAAAGAGGACAGCATTCCCAATGTCCCAGTTTAAGCGCCAGCGGATCAACCCACTACCAGGGGGACGCAACTTCTCAGGTGAACACCTTTATCTCTACCTGGCCTAGTACTGGGAAGTGTGTGTTTTGGAGTTAGTCTTTCAAAATGTGGCTTTTGGGGTTTCCCTGGTGGAGTGCAATTTGCTGCTGACTTTTCTTAGGAAGAAGCATGACCACAGTAGTTGTCGGCGAAACCCTGTGTGGGACATGCTTGGATCCACTTTGCTCTTTGGGTTTACCGTTTCCTGTAGCTGAACTAGTGCTTAAGATGGTAGGTGCAGTTTCTGGATTGCTTCTGTGTTCCAATAGGCGCAGCTTCAACATCTCTTTTGGGTCCTCCTCCTGGTTTGCTCACTCCTCCTGTGGCCACAGACCTGTCCCAAAATGCCAGGCACCTTCAGGTAGGTTGGGCATCCTATCTAGTGAGTTTCGGCACTCGGGACTACCCCAGCATGCATGGTTGCCCGATGCTTTCATTCTTACATCACAGTGTTCATCCTTCCTGACACTCCTGTCCTTGGCCAGTCCAGAGGCGACTAGACATCTGTGACTGGGGAGTCCTAGGTTCTGGCTCTAGGGAGATCTCTAGGGTGCTTCTTGGAATTAAAGAACTGGAAATCTTAGAAAAAGCTTATGACCGAAGAATCAGCACGACTCCCCCCAGTAGATTGATTGTGTCCACTGTACATATGCTTCCTTCTATATGTATGCTTCCTTCCATGGGAATCCGTGCAGTACTCTGATTGAGCTGAGGGTGGGGCGGGGTGGATGAAGATGAGATGCTAATGGCAGAGCATGGACAAATGCTCCCTATTACCTTTAAACTGCACTCTTCTCTTATAGGGTGGAGAGAAGCAGCGGGTCTTCACTGGCATTGTTACCAGTTTGCATGACTACTTTGGGGTGGTGGATGAAGAGGTCTTTTTTCAGTTAAGGTAGGCTTGAGGCTGATCCCCTTCTGAAAATGCTTATTGGATTCAGTTCTGTCACCATGCTGGTGGGTCCCCTATAATGCCATTGCTTTGCTGTTGTTATGCAAGGTGTGAGAAATCTTGATGGCAAGGGCCTCATAGGGACAGTCAGGGTGGCTTGGCCAGGGTTCCTCTCCTGACTGGGTCTCCTGGCTTGTGTGCTGGCAGTGTGGTGAAGGGCCGGCTGCCCCAGCTGGGTGAGAAGGTGCTGGTGAAGGCTGCATACAACCCAGGCCAGGCAGTGCCCTGGAATGCTGTCAAGGTGCAAACGCTCTCCAACCAGGTATTCATCTCTCCTTGGCATGTTTATTGGAAAGGCGTGGGAGGGAACCTTACTTTGGTCAAGGGGTTGGGGCTGCATCTTTCCAAGGTAGTGAGCAGGTCAGCTATGGGATGCCCTGAATTTCCTGGTTGCTGTCTTGCAGCCCCTACTGAAGTCCCCAGCACCTCCCCTTCTACATGTGGCAGCCCTGGGCCAGAAGCAAGGGATTCTGGGAGCTCAGCCCCAGCTGATCTTCCAGCCTCACCGGATTCCCCCACTCTTTCCTCAGAAGCGTGAGTACCAGTGGCATGGATATTGGGCGTGTGGCTTTATGGGGTACTTGGGATGAATGGACTTGTAACTGTTAGGTTGCTGCTCTCAGAATAGACGTGGATATTTCACGCACTGGAAAAAAGGTACAGGATTGTTGGGCAAATATTTAGGGGGTTTTGAGTCACCAGCCATTTCCTCTCTGCAGCTCTGAGTCTCTTCCAAACATCCCATACGCTTCATCTGAGCCACCTGAACAGATTTCCTGCTCGGGGCCCTCATGGACGATTGGATCCGGGCCGAAGGTAAGAGGATGATCAAGCAAGAAAGTGTTTTATTTTATTTGCCTCTAAGAGAATGTCCCTTTTTTTTTTTTTTTTTTTTTTGCCACCTGTTGACACTAACATTTTCTTTCAACAGCTAGATCCTGGTCCCTTTACCCTGAAATAGGCTGATACATTGAGATGTATATACAAATATCGGAACTTCATAAGCTGGTTCAGCAAGTAGGGATTTGGTGTAATTCATTTTTCAAAGTATCACATTGAATTTTTTAATATATAATTTTCCTTTTTATTTCTTGTGCATAAGATTGAGACACCAAGAATCAAAACTATCAAGAAAATAGTAATTGTCCAAAAAAAGTAACTCTGCAGTGTATTTTTTAAATTGAAGCATAATTTACAATATTATACCAGTAGATTGGCTATTTTTATATATTACGAGGTGATCACCGCAATAGGTAGTTACCATCTGTCACCATACAAAGCTATTACTATATTATTGAGTGTATCCTCTGTGCTGTATGTTACATCCCCATGACTTGTTTTGTAACTGGAAGCTTGTACCTCTTAATACCTCTTCACCTATTTTGCCCATTCCCCCCAACTTCCTCCCCTCTAGTGACCACCAGTATGTTCTCTATACCTGTGAGTCTGTTTCTGGTTTTTTTATGTTTGTGCATTTGTTTTGTCTTTTAGTTTCCTCCAGTGCATAATTTAATTCTTAGTCTAAAATGTGTTTCTTTAAATACACTGTACAGTTCAGTGGTGTGGTAGACTGTGTGTGTCGCACTCTGCCCAGAAATCTAGGTCTGTGCCGTGGATGTGCAGACACGGCCTTTTGTGGAGCAGGCGTGGTGCATTTGGGCCTTTGGGGCATCCCAGGCCATCCTGTATCATCTGTGAGCGTTGGGGGCTGCCAGGAGGAGCACACTTCCTGTTCTCTCTGGCTCACATGTTCCTTATCCTGCCTTACTCTCTCCCTAAAAGCTTTTGTTTATATCCCTAGGGCTTACGCTCTAGACTAGTTTGCTTTTTAGACTTGTTCTAGTTCTGTCCGTCTTCATTTTACATTTTATTATGAAAAATTTCAAGTATAAGCATAGTAAGTAAAAAAGGATGATGAACCTTCATATACCCATCACCCAGCTTAAACAAGTATCTGCCATTCTTTTTCATCTACTCCCTGCCTTGTACTTGATTTTTTTTTTTAAGGTAGAATTTATTTAGGTTGATGTGCACAAATCTTAGATGGACAGTTTTGACAAATGGAAAATCCTGTGTAACTCTCACCCCTATTAAGATATAGGACATTTCCATCACTCTAGAAGGTGTTCTCATGTTCTGGTTCTCTTCTGAAATAAGAACTGTTCCGAGAAGGAAACAGCCCCCTATCCCAGAGGCCAGTAGATTATTACATGGTAAGGGCTGAGAATGCAGTCCACTGAGAACATGTAAAAGGAGCACGGAGTTCCTCAGAGAAAAAGTTTAGGCAAAGTGATGTAGCTAGTCTCTGTGCTGAAGCCACTGTTTGTTCCCTCGGGATAGGTCACGTGAACACTAAGGAGGCGGGAAGGCTTTGATTGTGTAGGATTGTTTTCCACTGTGTCTCTGCTTGAAACACTCTTTCATTCTCAAGTTACTGGTATACGTCTTGCATACACCCATCTTCTTGGTCTTCCAGATTTACAAGGACTTTCCACCTCTCACATTCCATGAGTTTATTAAAGGCTTCATTCAGAATCACAGCAGGTGCCCTCAGGGATAATGTAGCCTGGGTGGAAATCAGTGGCTGCTATTGACTTCCTGCTTTAGGTTCACATTCAGCCTTTCTATACAGCCAGTTGCATTTGATTGTCCTGGACATGCCAAGCCCCGTGCAAGACCTATGTTCTGTTACTTTGGCCATAATGCTTCAGTGTCATGGCTTCTCGAGAAAGGAGACATGACCATTGGGAGGGAGATATTACCATCAGTCAGTAGAGAGAATTTGCAGACTCATTCTGCAAAGGGGGCAGTAGGAATGAGGTCACCCTGAGGGGGAACAACAACTTATAATGGAGTCACCCATGTTAGCGTTTGACTGGAAACCAGGTTTTATTTTGAACTTCAGGTTTTGGGAGGCAGGAAACAGTGTCTCCTTTGGATTGCTAATGCTGAACTACTGCGGTTTTTGGACAGGGCTATCCAGCTGGATATACCATCTCAGTATCCTGCTGAGGTTACGGAGGTGGCTTCCACTGGTCATGCCTTATAACCTGTTCCTGGCAATTCACGATAAGGGGAGAAAACTGCTCGCTGAGTTTACAGGATTCAGTGGAACGTCCACTTTAACTTGAGGTTGACAGCATTTACTGAAGAGTTCACTTCAGTCATGGGTGAGCCGAAGAGGGTTGTCAAAATGACTGGAACAGTTCTTCTGTTAGAGACACAGGAGCGCTGACATCCCACAAGGGCAAGATTAGAAGGCAGCTTTTGGAGGGAGATGCTATGAACAAGGAAATTACCCAGGCAGAAATATGAGAAAAGAAGAAAAACTTTGTGTTAAATATAATCAAGTTTGTTACTCAGGGGTGTAATGACTAGGGAAACAACCCAGGCAGGTCTAAAGGGAAAGTGTAGACACCTTCTAGTAAATATAATCAACTTGGCATTACCTCAGCACGAAGAATTGACAATTGATTTTATTTCCCTTGTGAGACATGGGGATTTTTTCCCCTTATCAGTCTGGCATTTTATGATGGTCTAAAGGTTTTTTTCTATTATTTTTTTATTGCCCCCATAACATAGTGATACTATAATAAGTGATTTATTACAAAAATGTATAAAGTAGTACATGCTATTATATAAAGTTAAAAATACTATAAAAATATATCATTCCCTCTTTCCCTTTAAAGGTAGCCATTTAAAAACTTTTAAATTAAAGTATAGTTAATTTACAATATTGTATTAGTTCCAGGTGTACAACATAGCAGTTGTACTCCATTTAAAGTTATAAAATGTTGGCTATGTTCCCTGTGCTGTGCATTACACCTTTGTATCTTATTTATTTTGTACATAGTAGTTTGTACCTCTTAATCTCTTACCCTTATCTTCCCCCCCATCCCCAAGGTAACCATTCTTAAAGACTTTTAGAAAATAATTTTGAAAAGCAAATTTACTTTCTGCTACTTTTTCCCTCCATGTTCTTTTCTAGTCTTTATCTATATATATGCATACTTTTTATAATTTAAATCTGAGTTCAGATTTTTTATACGTTCTTATCGAACATCTGTTCCATATTGCACTGTAATCCTCATAATTGTTTTAATGGCTGTATGATTACTGTACTTATTTACTATGAAAATTCAGGATTGCTAGATACACACATGGTTTTTTTTTTTTTATAAATTTATTTATTTGATTTTTGGCTGTGTTGGGTCTTCGTTGCTGCGCGCGAGCTTTCTCTAGTTGCGGCGAGCGGGGGCTACTCCTCATTGCGGTGCGCGGACTTCTCATTGTGGTGGCTTCTCGTGTTGCAGAGCATGGGCTCTAGGCACAGGGGCTTCAGTAGTTGTGGCACGCGGGCTCTAGAGCGCAGGCTCAGTAGTTGTGGCAGACGGGCTTAGTTGCTCCGCGGCATGTGGGATCTTCCCGGACCAGGGCTCGAAGCCGTGTCCCCTGCATTGGCAGGAGGATTCTCAACCACGGCGCCATCAGGGAAGTGCCACACGTGGTTTTCTTACTCGGCTTGAATTTCTTCTACTATATATAACCTTTTTTCTTCTTCTGAATTAACTTCCTTGGGATAAATTTTTAAGAGTGAAATTACTGGATCAAAGGGTTTCAGTATTTTTATGACTCTAATGTGTAGTGTTAAGGGTTTTTACCAGAACTGTCTTTTTTTTTTTGCGGTACACGGGCCTTTCACTGTTGTGGCCTCTCCCGTTGCGGAGCACAGGCTCCGGACGCACAGGCTCAGCGGCCATGGCGCACGGGCTCAGCCGTTTCCTGGCATGTGGGATCCTCCCAGACCGGGGCACAAACCCGTCCGTCCCCGTCCCCAGTCCCCTGCGTCGGCAGGCAGACTCTCAGCCACTGTGCCACCAGGGAAGCCCCAGAACTCTCTCTTTTAATGAAACTTGACAGAACCCGTAGCATGGTGCCATATGTATATATATCTTAGTAAAAAAAAAAAATCAGTTAAATTCTTCTCATTTCAAAAAATTATATTAAATATAAGAAAATTATTCATCACCTTTATCTGTCAGAGGTATCCACCATTAATATTTCTTTTTAAAGCTTTTTTTGGCACATTTGAGGCACTATTGTATATATAGTGTTCCATATAATTCTTTTTGTTTAACATGAATGGTTTTCTGTGTTATTAAAAGCATTTAAATATCTTAATGTCTTTTGTAATACTCTTATATGACTGTTAGCATGGCTTCTTTATTTTTAAAGTTGGGGATTCAGATGGTTTCCAGTTCTTTTTAGGCCAGTATGTACTGAATCTATATGTAACAGTGTGGTCTCTTCCTTCTGGTCATGGATCAACCTCCAGCGATGACTATGACTCCAAGAAACGCAAACAGCGGGCTGGTGGAGAGCCTTGGGGTGCTAAGAAACCAAGGCATGACCTGCCTCCTTACCGAGTCCATCTCACTCCCTACACTGTGGACAGGTGAGTGGTGAGGCTGGGGTGGGGGCTGAGACTTGTAGCTGGTAACAGTTTCTTGTGTAAGTGAGATATAGTCTGGGAGTAAGAGTGAGTGTGTGTGTGTGTGTGTGTGTGTGTGTGTGTGTGTGTGCACGTGCGTGCGCTTATGACCTTTTTGTTTCACTTTTGTTTTTTAATGTGACAGATTTTTTACTTCAAAATCTCAAGTTCTGACCAGCATAGCACCACTGACATGGGTGCCCTTGATAGAACTTTATGATTTGATCACCAGAAATTGTTATGCCAGGCTATAATTAAGGCTTATCAATCAAAATCCAGGTGCCCAATACCAGTTGTAAGTCAGGTAGAAACTGTGGGTCATAGGAACCGTGGGACTGGTTTCCCAGGGAAGCTCTAAATTATTTTTTAAGTGCTACAGCATGTATGAGGACACTGGCCCACAAGCTTACTCCGCACACGTAGAAACTCACTGACTGAGAGGTAGATGAGCAATTCCAGATTCCATCTAGCAGGGGAGATGCAGGGCTCCAGCTGCTGTATTAGAGATAAGGCCCCAGAGCCAAGTCCACCTAAGTCCGAGCTGAGGTGAGGGCAGCCTCCTGGCACCACCTCCTCAAGATGGCAGGGAAGGAGGGCTGCCACTGCTCTTCCCCTGTCACCGCTTCCTCTCTCCAGGCCCAGGCAGGGCTTGTTTTTCTCCATGCTGACCCACCTGCCTCCCAAGGTTAATCTGATGAGATACCGGTCCCCACATCATCACCACTGGAGGGGTGAATATAGAGCCTCCTCATGTGGTCAGAACATGACTGCTAACAATTAGCCACACACACACACAGCTGTGGTTTTTTTCCTAAAACACAACTGGAAACCTATTGTACATACCGTTCAGTACTTTGCTTTTTCACTTGTCTTGGAATTTATTCTACGTTAAAGTTTATTAGACTGATCTCATTCTTTTTAGCAACTGCACAGCATTCTACTAAATGAATGGACCAGAATTTATTTAACCAGTTCTCCGTTTTTAGTCTTTAATTATCCTAAACATTGTTGTAATAATAAACATCCTTCTCTATACGTCTGCGTGGACAGGTGCAAGCATTTTGTTGCGCTCAATTCCTAGAAATGGAGTAGCTGGCTCACAGGTCTGTCAGCCTTGACAGGTATTGCCAGGCCGCTCACAGAGGCGGTATCGGTTTACGTTCTCACACGAGGTGTGAGGTTCTTGCACCCCCAGCCTTTGCCAACACTGTGTTATCCAGCTTTGTGATCTTTGTCAGTCTGACAGGTGAAAAGTGATACCCTGATTTGAATTTAATTATGAGTGAGATTGAGCATGTTTTCATGAGCTCGTAAGTCTCATTTCTTTTTCTAAGTTATCTGTTGCTGTCCGTTTTTCCAGTTTTCTCTTAGACTTGTGAACTTTGTTAGTGACTTGTGGGTTCCTTTTATATTAAGACAGTGACCCTTTTCTCTGTCACATATTGCAGATGTCTTTTTTTGTTTTCCTTCCCCAGGTTGACTTTATTTTGCCACTAGAGGTTGTGACATTTTAGTGGTCAAGTCTGATCCATTTTTATTTTTTCAGAAGTGTCTTACTTAGAAAGCTCTTCTTTTCTCAGATTATAAAATAATCTGCTCCCTTTTTCTTTCAAGTCTTTTATGGTTCCATTTTTAAAAATAATTTAGTCTTGGCTCCATCTGCACTCCCTTGCTTTCTTCCCATAGCTCCACCTGTGACTTCTTAGAACTCCAGCGCCGCTACCGCACCCTGCTGGTTCCCGCAGATTTTCTGGCTGTGCACCTGAGCTGGCTGTCGGCCTTCCCTCTGAGCCAGCCCTTTTCCCTCCATCATCCAAGCCGCATCCAGGCATCTTCTGAGAAGGAGCCAGCTCCAGACGCTGGTGCTGAGCCCACGTCCACAGACAGTGACCCTGCTTACAGTTCCAAGGTGAGTTGGCTGGGGTCCTGCCTCTTTATCCCGTTGTTGGAGGCTGAGGAAGCTCTCGAGTGTCTCCTTTATGCTGTCCCTACCAGGTACTGCTGCTCTCTTCCCCGGGGTTGGAGGAATTGTATCGTTGTTGCATGCTCTTCGTGGATGACATGACTGAGCCAAGGGAGACGCCAGAACATCCTCTGAAGCAAATTAAAGTAAGAGCTGGAGCCCAGGAGGCAAGACTCACTCATTGATGATGTTCAGTTCCTGTCAGCTCCGCTCCTGCTCAGGAACTCATAGAAACGGGGTTTCGGGGCTGAGATACCAGTCGTTTTACCAGGAGGACAGCATGGCTGAGAGATGTTCTTTCTTATCAGAATTATGTGGGGTTCACATTCATGGGTAGAGATACCCCTCCCGCCCCCAGTGTGGCGGACCCTTTGTTCCCCACTGGTGGCAGGTTGCCTCCCTGTGGGAGACCCACATGATTGGTTTTTCGTTTCTTACCCCGGTCTCTTTTTGCAGTTTTTGCTGGGCCAGAAAGAAGAGGAGGTAGTGTTGGTGGGGGGCGAGTGGTCTCCTTCTCTGGATGGCCTCGACCCCAAGGGCGACCCGCAGGTGCTCGTCCGCACTGCCATCCGCTGTGCGCAAGCCCAGACCGGCATCGACTTGAGTGCCTGCACCAAGTGGTGAGTGGCTGCCCGAGCTGTTGTCTGTGGCTGCCCAGTGAGTGGCGAGACCCGGCAGGGAGCCAGGCTTCTGCTGGGCCTTTCTGACCTGTTAGTTCCCGTCTGTTCCCTAGTCCCTGCTCATCACCCGCTCCCCTCCAGCCCTCGCAGTGGTTGTGAGCACGGTGAGGGTTGTGTAAGTGTGTTGAAGGCCAGCTGACCCTCCAAGGCTCGTCAGATGTGGCCCCACAGCCACATTCCGTGCTCCTTCTTGTTGCCATGGCACCTCGGATAGTAATTGTCTGCTTACTTGTCTCTCCCCACTGACTAACCATTTCTTGAGGACTTGGTCTATATCTTTTATTTCTGTACTGTCAGAATTTCTGTACTGTCAGAATTTGGCACACAGTATGTGCTCATTAAATGCTGATTGGAAACTGAAGCCCTCACGAATGTCATGGGTCAGTTCTGCATTTTTCCTTCTGCTGTGAGCAGGTGGCGCTTTGCTGAGTTTCAGTACCTGCAGCTGGGACCCCCGAGGCGGCTCCAGACCGTGGTGGTGTACCTGCCGGACATCTGGACCATCATGCCTACTTTGGAAGAGTGGGAGGCCCTGTGCCAGCAGAAAGCTGCAGAGGCAGCTCCCCCGCCCCAGGAGGTGCCAGTGGTGAGGCTGAGCCTTTCGAACACGTGGGGAAAGTCGGGGCCCTGGGCCCTAACCCTGGACCCAGATGGTCATAGCTCTTGACTTTTCGCCACAGGAAACAGAGCCTGCAGAACAGGCAGCTGATGCACCAGAGCAGGCGGCAGACGCCTCTAAAGAGAATGCGGAGAATCCGGAGGCCACTGCGCAGCAGGAAATGGACACCGACCTCCCAGAGGCCCCTCCACCCCCTCTAGAACCTGCTGTCATGGCACGCCCCAGCTGTGTAAACCTGTCCATCCATAGTATCGTGGAGGACCGGAGGCCAAAAGAAAGGATCTCTTTTGAGGTAGGTGTAGGAGTCTGGGGCCTGTGGGGCAGGGCGTATAGGACGGTGGGGTTTGGAACACCCCATGTTCTGATGCTCGTGACCCGTGCCTCTTCCACCAGGTGATGGTGTTGGCTGAGCTGTTTCTGGAGATGCTGCAGAGGGATTTTGGCTATAGGATTTATAAGATGCTGCTGAGCCTTCCCGAAAAGGTCGTGGCCGCACCCGAACCTGAGAAGGAGGAGGCGGCCAAGGAGGAAGAAGCGGTCAAGGAGGAGGCCAAGGAGTCCAAGGATGAGGTACAGAGTGAGGGCACAGCTGCCGAGTCAGATGCCCCGCCGGTGAGTACCTCTGCCCCTGTGCACGGGCACTGGGGCTGCACATGGTAATGCTGAACACAACTGGGGCTGCGTGGCACCAGCGCTGCTCCGAGTGCTTTAGGGCTCTCCTCTCATCACCCCTCGCTCACTGCGCACACGTGCTCTGTGACCCTGGTGTGACTCAGGTGCGGGGCGCCTAACTCTCCCACGTGGCCACACAGCCCGGAGGTGGTTGGTGTACCTGGGAGAAGGGAGGTGGGCCTGGAGCAGTGAAGGGAAGCGTGGTTGACACGGCAGCATGGACGTCTCCATTAATAGGAATGCTTTGATGGGTACAGGTGTTTAGATTACCTGACGGTTAACTAGAACACTGCATTTTCTTAAACATTTCTAAAGCACATGGGTCTTCTTCTTGCCTAAATACTGTCAAGTAAACAAATTTCTTACGGGACTGAGATTGACTCTTGAGGAAAATCCCAGGTATCTGGAACTCGCCCTGATCTGCTCTGTGACCCCCATGTAACGAAGTGTGTTAAATGAGACGTTGCGTATGCGCCTTCGGCGCGGTGCCTGAACGCGGCTGACGCACAGATGTTAACCGTTGTTATTGTTGGTAGTCACAGGGGCAGTTCCTCTCATCATCTTGGTCTGCTTCTCCTAGAAGGAAGATGGGCTTTTGCCCAAACCCCCATCTTCTGGGGGAGAGGAAGAAGAGAAACCCCGGGGCGAGGTGTCCGAGGACCTCTGCGAGATGGCCCTGGACCCCGAACTGCTGCTGCTGAGGGACGATGGGGAGGAGGAGTTCGGTATGTCTGGTGCCTGCCCGGGTGGCGGCTTCCTGGCTCTGTGGCTCCCGTCCTGGCTGTGTGTGGAGCCAGTCCGGGCCTGTGTGCTCCCAGCTCCAAGTTCATCTCTGGCTTTCTGTAGCAGGAGCCAAGCTGGAGGATTCCGAGGTCCGGTCGGTTGCCTCGAATCAGTCAGAGATGGAGTTCTCATCCCTTCAGGACATGGTGAGACCTCTGTGCCTCTCTGGGTCTCAGTGACAGGGAAGCTTAGCAAGGCCTCTGACTCACTCCTGGGAAAGGGGTGCTTTTCCTAAATGACCTCTGGCATCTTCTGATAGACGAAAGACGAAAGGTGGTTCTTGGCTTATGGGATGGCATGCTCGTAGGATCCAGCAGAGCACTTCGGTATCTCCACCAGGGCGGATCTGAGCGAGCTGTCTGACCTGGGAGCACCCAAGATTCCTCTGTGTGTGACAGGCCCTGGGGCGAAAATGCCCCAAAGAGGCCTTTGGTTACAGGCCAAGGGACTTGCCTGGCCCAGGGTCAGGTCTCTAACTGGAAGGGTGTGAGTGTGTCAGCCAAGCTGCTTGATTTCTTTTTGTTTTTTTTAAACTTTTCTTTTTATGTTGGAGTATAGCCAATTAACAATGTTGTGGTAGTTTCAGGTGCACAGCAAAGAAACTCAGCTATACATGTACATGTATCCATTCTCCCCCAAACTCCCCTCCCATCCAGGCTGCCGCGTTAACACTGAGCAGAGTTCCCTGTGCTATACAGTAGGTCCTTGTTGGTTATCCATTTTAAATATCAAGCGGCTTGATTTTATAAGGGCTTCGTCCTGGGTGATTTAGCATCAAGGGACCTGTTTGTAAATCCTGTTCATCCTTGTTTCTCTTTTAGCCCAAGGAGCTGGACCCCTCTCCTGTGCTCCCTCTGGACTGTCTTCTTGCTTTTGTCTTCTTTGATGCCAACTGGTGTGGCTACTTGCATCGGCGAGACTTGGAGAGGATCCTGCTTACCCTTGGGCTCCGGCTCAGCGCAGAGCAGGTGCCTTCTCATGCCCCGCCCTAGGCCTCTCTGAGATGCCTCGCCCGACATCCTCGTGTGCATGCGCGGCTCAGGATGCTGTGGTTCTAGGTTCTTGCACGCCATTGTGGGGGGACTTGCACCTTCTCATCCGTGGGCATCTTGGGTGTGTGCTTCCTACAGGCCAAACAGCTGGTCAGCAGGGTGGTGGCCCAGAACATCTGCCAGTATCGGAGCCTTCAGTACAGCCGCCCGGAGGGCCCGGATGGGGGGCTCCCTGAGGAGGTGCTCTTCGGTGCGTACTGTGCTCTGCGGCCTTCTGGGGACAGCGGAGCAGGCTGCCTTGTCCCGGGACCGTCCCTGAGTCTTTTCACGGCCCTTCTAGGAAACCTGGACCTGCTACCTCCTCCTGGGAAGAGTGCCAAGCCGGGCGCTGCCCCTGTGGAGCACAAGGGCCTGGTGTCCCACAACGGCAGCCTCATCAACGTGGGGAACCTGCTGCAGCGTGCGGAGCAGCAGGACAGCGGGCGGCTCTACCTGGAGAACAAGATTCACACACTGGAGCTGAAGCTGGGTGAGTGGCTGGTGGCGCGGGGACCTGTTGCAGCCGGGCGCAGACGCAAGGAGCCGAGCAGAGGCCCGTCCCTCAGCCTCCAGGCCTCTGGCCCTACACTCCCCTCCTTAGCTTGGCAGTCTTTCCTGTCTTCCCCCGCCAGAGGAGAGCCATAACCGCTTCTCAGCCACTGAAGTGACGAATAAGACGCTGGCCGCAGAGATGCAGGAGCTGAGAACCCGGCTGGCTGAGGCTGAGGAGACGGCCCGGACGGCGGAGCGACAGAAGCACCAGCTTCAGCGGCTGCTGCAGGAGTTCCGAAGGCGCCTGACCCCCCTGCAGCTTGAGGTGCAGCGGATGGTTGAAAAGGTGAGCCTCCTGGGAGAGCCGGCCGCCGGGCGGGGAGGCTGGGTCAGGGCAGCCGGCACGGGGCCGGGCCCAGGTTTGCCTCGCTTCCGCCTCCATGCGCCAGTTTCTTATGGAATCGATCAGTCAGCAGCTGGCACCCTGGACTCTCCCAGGAGGAAGTGCTCAGTAGTCCTCGGATCTCGGCCCTTCCTCTGAGTCCGATTCTCGTGACATCTGTTTCAAACAGGCAGACAGCTGGGTAGAGAAGGAGGAGCCAGCACCTAGCAACTGAGGGGCCTGGTGCAGGAGCTGCCATCCTGTGAGGTCAGCGATGGAGCCTGCTGAAGTTAGAGCCCTTTTGGTTCTAGAAAGAAGCTGGAGCAGGACCTGGGAGCCATAGGCAGGGGTGGCTGACCCCTGTGCTCGGCCTCTGTAGAGGAGCTCAGGCCGTCAGGGTGGGGTCTGTCTGTGCCGTGTGGGACGGATGAGTGAGGAAGCCGGTTCCACTTGCAACTAAATCCAACATCTTCTGCACCCCTCGAATGTCATTTTGCCCTCTACCTTGGGATTCCTCCTGGGGCCCTTTCGTCTTGTGCTTTCTCCTGTCCTCTTCCAGTTTAGAATAAGACGGGAGGAAAAGGCTTTTTGAGTCTGTTGTAAGGTCTGATGCCAATAAACTGAAGAAACAGACGTGGAAGCTGGCTGGGGGTAAGAGCCCCTTCCTCCGGATGGCACAAATCCTGCCAGGTTTCAGGAGCAGGTTCTGGGGGGAAGGGTCTCCCGTGGCCATCGCAGGAACAGAGTCAGTCAGTGCTAGCGAGCGTTTAGCGTTGGGCAGTGTTTGTTTGGCAGTGAACACTGTTCCAGCCACCCCAGACTTGCCAGAAGAAACCAGCACCTCTTTTCCCTGGCTCCCCATGTTCAGAATGTGGTATTGGCTCTGGCCCAGCCTTTTCCCTGTTCCCCATAAGTCTCGCCTCTTTCCATAATCCGTGGTTTCAGTTTGACTTTGTATATAAAGTGTTCTGTTTTGGTTTTTTTTTGGCTTTTTGTTTTTTAAATAAACCAAAGTCAAAACAAACTGAGTGTCCTCCGTACCTCTCCCCTCGCTCCTCTTCTAGGTCTGCCTGCGCTCCGCCCTCCTCCCAACCCTCAGCGCAGCCTCTGCTCGATGCAGGTGTCACCTCCGGAGGGTGTGGGGGGGGGCGGTGCAGCTCTGGGCCCTGCTGCCCAGGAGAGGGGCTGCCGCGGGGTCTGGGAAGGACTTGGGGGTGGCTCCTCCCCTCCTCTCTTTAGTTACGGCACAACGATATACGGACATTTTATTGAAAACTTTTTACTTGGAAAAATAAAATCCCAAATAATGAGGTGAGACATAAACCCACTGTTGTTGCTCTGAGGCCTGTGACTCGGTCTGTGACATTTTGTGGGGTAGGCTGTTGTTGACACGCGTTGAGTCCCAGCTTCCTAGGGAAGCTGCAAGACTTGGGGCTCTGCCCTGCAGTTGACCCAAAGTCTAGAAGTGGGCAGAGGCGGCCGCTGTCTTGCCGAGAGGCTGGGGTGAGGGGCCTGTTGCGGCTGGGAGACCGTGGCTTTCACATTGCCCAGGGCAGTGTCGAGGCCTCTCCCAGAACAGGCGAGTCTGAGGTGAAAAGGCAGCAAGGGTGGGTGACTCCTCAGGGTGGCCCTTTTGGAGGTAGACGTGATCCCAACCGTGCAAGCCAGGCTAAGACTTCAAGGGAGCAGACAGGAGCCCAGGCTCTGGCCCTAGGCCAGGATGCACTTTGGACGGTTCTTTAGGGACTAAAAGACAGTCTACACTGCTTACCTGTCGGTGGGTTCTTGCTACGAGTGGGGAGGTGAGAGCCTGCTCGGGGCTCCTGGTTCCAGGCTCATTCCCAAGGGCTGGGGTGGTGCAGCGGGAGCTGCCGGTATGGTATCCCCATCCTTCTCCCAGGCAAGGGCCCTCTGCTCCCTGATGCCCGAGCCTGAGCTCGTGAAGCGTAAGCTAGAGAGGCCGACTCGTGTTTCAGAGACTTCCGAGGGCCGGGCTCAGTCATCGGCCACGATGGAGAGGGCTCTGAGCTCGCTCAGTCTGGCCTCGTTCTCCCGCTCCCGCTGCTCATCAGGACGGCCGGGCTGGGCAAGCTGCTGGGTCAGGTCTCCGAAAATCTTGTGCATTTCCGAGTAGTACACGACCTGGGGTGGGAACGGGAGGAGGTGGGCGGTGGGGGGCTCCAGGGTACCAGCCCCCCGGGGCACGGCGGGTGGGTGGGCGGAGGGCCGGAGCCTGTGGGAAGCGGAGCGCAGGTCTCGACTCCACTCTCCCTCCACCACCGCCCCTCCCCTTGAGCTGCGTGGCAACCGCAGCCCCGGGTCCTTCAGGAACATTCACTGCCCACTGCCTGGGTGGCAGAGGGAGCAACGGGTCCTTGGTGAGGCGGGGGTGGGGGTGGGGGTGGTGGTGCTCTGCCTCCGAGCTCTCCAGGCAGCTGAGGGGGAAGGGCTGGGGGGCGTGGGTGGGTCCTCGGCGGGTCCTGGGGGCGCCAGTGAGTCAGGCCCTGTGACCAGGTGCTAACTGCTTTACAGAAGCTAGGAGAAGCTCTCATCCATGGGAGAGGGCACAGCAGCTCCCAAAGCCCTGGGCCAGCCTTAGAAGTAAAGGTGAGAGAGGGGACACGGTTCTAGCCTCCGTCCCTTCCCAGCTCATCCCACCGCCAATCACTGCCTTAGCTGCAGAGCCAGGAAAGCAGGGCCCAGAGGCCAGGCTCACTTCCGCGTTTCCCTCTGCACAGCCACCAGAGGCGGGATGGGAGAGGCGCACAGGAACCAGGCGGGGGCAGGCCGAGGAATGGGGGGACCCATGGGCAGCCCTAGATGGCTGAGAGCTGAGCAGGCCCAGGGGAGGAGGGCAGGGACCATTTCTGCCTCAGTCTCCACCTCACAACCAAATGAAGTCACGTACTTTCAAGAAAGTGTGCCACACCACTCAAACACCCCTACGTGTTACCATCTCCAGCCCCGAGTTGTCTCTGGGGAGAAGGAACTCTCCTTCTCTAGCAACCTGGAGTGCCATTACTGGCCATGCCAGGCCATGTCTTCCACACTCGCACAGCTGGGCTGAGGGGGAGCTAAATCAAGGTCTCCAAACAGGGTTGTCACCTGAGGGGACAGGGCCCGGGCTAGTGCTGGAGCGGGGAGCGGGATGCCCCCCCACCCCCCCGCCCCAGCTCCCTGCCCTGAGCCGCACTGCGCGGGCTGAGTCACTAGGAATGCTCACTTCTCCAGTGACTAATGGCAGCAGCAGCCGCGGGAGGGGGAGGCTGGCGCTGACGAGGCAGTAAACAACCCTCCGCCACCCTGCTGCCTGGTTACAGGGTATCCCTGGCTCCCAACCTGGGCAGCCTGGAGCTGTCTCCTGTGAGCAACAGGGTGGAGGGGGCAGGGCAGGTGACTGCGGGTCCGGGAGCAGAGGCACAGGACAGGGAAGTCACAGGTCTCCTGAAACACACCGTCCCCGGCCCAGGGCGAAGCTGCTGAAAGGAAGCCCGCACCTCCAGGGGCTGTGCTCTGGGGCAAGCATGGGAACCTTCCACGTCCCTATGCACGTAGCTCTCTGCCTCATTTTCCCTGAGCCCCTAAGGACACGGTCACTAACAAGTCCCGGATCCAGCATTAATCCTGCTCAGGGGTCCTGATCCCAAGTGTCCGGATCCCATGATTCCCATGGGGTTTGGTGCTCTCTGAAGACACAGGCTGGGAGGCAGGAACCAGGCTTTTCCTGGGTATCTGTGATTGTGGACTGTGTAAGAACGAGAGTGCCCACTGGAGGGCGCCAGACACTCAGGCCCAGCGCCGAGGCGGGCTGGAGGCAGACGGGGACACGTTGAGCCTTCAGTTTTGTTACCTGGTGGGGAAGGTGGCAGAGTGCTGAGCACCTGCAGTCACCTGGCGGGCGGGAGGCGGGGGGTGTTTCCCACGTGGAGAAGACCTCTTGGTTTTGGCACCTCAACCTTTTCTCTTTTACAGATGGGGAGAATACTCCCTGCTAAGGGCTTGAAGGACGTGGGGGAGGGGGAAGGAGGGCAGGAGCCACACTTTGTCTTTACACCCCTGAGTAGCAGGAGGCATGGGGTCTCGGGCCCGGTGCCACCATGGTGCACGTCCACCCGCGCCCAACCCGAGCGGGCCTGCCTTTCCGCTGGAAGATGCACCACGGCCTGGCGCCCAGGTGGGGCCCCTGCGCATGGCTCTCGCCGGGGTTTAGGGACCCCTCCAAGGGTTGCTAAAAGTCAAGACACCCCCTAGTCTTCCACCAAAAGAGAAGGACTAACTAGGGAGGGGAGGGGGTGCAGGGTCCTCGGAAAAAGGCCTTCACCTGTGGCCCCTGTCCCTGACCTGGGCCCACCAGGCAAGCGACCTGCCCATCAGGGTGAGGCGCTGGAGGTGCGGCCTGGTCTCCTCTTGCTGCTCGTGGAGAAAGAGAACTTCAGCGAAGAACTCTTGGACGACAAGGGACCTCGTGCGAAAGTTGGGATTAACCAAAGAGCAACGGAGAGACCGAAACGGGAATTCCAGCCAACAACCGGGGGGCACCCTGCATTCCTCCCTCGGGGGCAGGGCTGGGGGCAGAGAGTGGCTGAGCCCCGCTTCCGGTGTGGGGAGCAGGGCGTGGCTGGCATGAGATGGGTCTCCAAAGCCCGCGACTGCCTCCCGAGGGAAGAAGTGTTGGGCCATCATGCGGGGTGGCAGCAGCCTCACCTGTGCTCGGATCAGGGACTCAAAGCTGGGCTGGAAGTAGTCCAGTCGGCTGTTGTAGAACCGCGGCATCTCATCCAGGAGCTGCTTGTTCTTGGCCTCAAAGTCATCCCGCACGGGCCGAAGCTCTTCTCGGGCCTGAGGAGCAAGACCCTGGGTGGCACAGCTCTTGCTGGCTCATCCAGCTTCCTGAGTGGGGCACGGGGGGTGGTGGAGGTGCTGTGTGTGTGTGTATGGTGGTGGTGGTGGGAGTCAGGACATCTGGTGTCTTGGTCCCTGGGTGAAGGAGGAACTTGGCCTCCTGTCCCTGGGTGAAGGAGGAACCACGTGGCCCCCTGTCCAGCCCCAGCCCCTTCTCCCCGGTACCTGGTGGAGTTTGGCCAGCACCGGCCCTGTCTTCTCCTTCTCCTCGTACTTCTCCACCTTGGCCTGCAACCTCCTGTAGTCCTGCAAGGCCTGCTCCCGCCGTTTCACCGCCATGTTGAGGCTCGGGAAGACACTGCCAAACCTGCCGGACACAGTGGGTTGGAGACGGGCCTGTTCTTGGAGCTGCAGGCTGGCAGCTCATCGCTCATTCAAAAATATGTATCGAGCGCCTACCACGTGCCAGACTCTGTTCTAGGTCTTGGGGATCTTGCTGTGAACGAGATAGATGGGGCCCTGGCCTTGGTGGGGCACAGGCTGAGAATGTCACCTTGGGGTAAGGCCAGGGCAAGGAAGTCAGGGTAAGGGCCACTCCACCGACCTGGGTAAGACTCAGCAGGTCATGAATGCATGATGCCACTGATGCTGCCACTGCCCTTTAGCCCCCACCCCACATTTCAGAGACCTGTGCTACAGCATGGAGGAGCTGAAGACTCCTTGGAGTCTTTTTTTTTTTTTTGACCTGGTACAAAAAGATTCAGGTTCTATTAATTAGCATCAGGCATCTCAGAAGAAACAAAAGACAGATGAGCTAGCAGAGCCAGGAGAGCTCTCTGGACAATCAGGAAGGAACAGGGGTGGACAGAGCTCAGGAAGCCATCTGAGCAGATGGAGGCAGCACCCCTTGGGAGTGGGCCCGGACCCAGGGGTGCTCCGGGAGCTAGGCCAAGGGCAGTTGCTCTGAGGGCTGGTATCAGAAAAGCTGGGAGATCAAGCTTCTGTCCAACATCTTCCATTAAAAAAGTGAAAAAACTGAGACCAGGGAGATGACATGACTTGTCCAAGGTCACAATTAGGTAGTGACGGTCCAGCAGATAACTCAAGTGTCCCAGCTCTCCCTCTGGCACCTCCCTACCACCTCATGCTGCCAACAGCAGGTGACAGACCTGCAACCGAAAT